GACCGCTGCATTGACTTGTTAAATTGGGACAGTCACGCCTGCTCACTCGACCTTTACCGATGGATAGTTGGTTGAGCGGTTTTCCCACATTCCCCCACCCCCCCCCCCCCGTCCGTCCTTTTATTCATGTGCTAGTATCTGAGTCATGTGATGCAAGGTATGTTACAATCGCGGGATGTAAATGCGATTTTACTTCTTTATTTCTACGCATTTGCCGCGTGTTAGACGTTAAAGTTGAAATAGATCTTATTTATTTGGAGTGTTTGATGCTGTGAAAGTGCTGTTTTTGGGAATAATTTCCAACTAAAGTAACTTTTTATGCCGCTTCAAACCCGAGAGGGTAAAACTATTTGCACTAAAATGTATTTTGTAATATATGTATACAATGTTAAAATGAACTTTATTTCTATGATTATACGGAAGAAAAAGAAGGTAATTAAGAGAATAGGAGGCAGAAATTATTCTTGAATGTATTATAATCACATACATAGTTAATAATAAATTATTTATCAGCCATTCTCGTTGTTCATTGTAATACATTCTCTGGCATTCTAAGTGCACCCATGGTGACAAAATGCACCGAAAACAGAGAACATAAGATTGTGGAAAACTTGGACATTGAACTACTATGACCTTTTTTGCTCATCCAAAAGTCTGTAGGAACCTTGCTGACATCGACGATATCCCGTTTACATGGAGTTTTCAAATTTTGCAGTTGGTTTCGATGTAAAAAAAGACACCACAAAGGCTTTAAAAAGTGCTTTCCAATTGTGTTCGCGGCAACTGAGGGAGAATACGCGACGTATGTTAAGCCTCTCTTCTGGTCCTCAAATCAAGTTCGGTCCCTGGGTTCTAAACTGTAAACAAGAGGCTCTGCTCTGGTTCTACACCTGTAAATGTCCATCATGACGTGTACAAACGTGTTCCCCAAACGTGTCCTAAGCTGGCTCTCTTTTGGGCCCCAAACTTTTTCTGTGGTATAGTCTTCATTTGCGAACCTGCCAGTATGACGTTCGGGGGAGGGGAGGGGGTTAATTACTTGCAGTTTAGCAACCTAATTAACGTTCATTTGGTCGTTTCGCGAGATCAACAGGCTAGTTGGGTGATATTTCACATCAGAAATTGAAAGAGATAAATTGCAGAGTAACCTTGTGTCCACAGGATACTGCTTATAATTATTTATTCCCTTCATGCTTCCACCCCACCCGAGCACTTGTAATTGATACTCTGTTTCTTGATTAATGTGAGAGATCTGAAAGATGAAAAGAGCGCGCAGACTTTGTTTTGGCAGGTCATGTCACAACGTAATGGATACGGCATCTCAGGCCACAAAAATATGGCTTTACAGGGCAGTTTGTTGAACTCGAGAAACATTCCTCTCCGACAAAACTCCGAGCATATATGCTCATCGTGCTTCTTTCATGTCTTTATAACAATTTTGTATTCAAACATCTAATAAAATTTGATACTTAAAAAAAATTAATGTAGGATTTTACAAGTATCACTACTTTGCACCATTGCTATTATATGGCGCAGACTACAGGTTCTAAACAAGTATACCTGCAAACAGTAAAGATTGTTTGATATTAATAAAAATATAAATGTTAATCATAATAACTAAGTCACTCTGCCAGCTCACTGACTACCGGCCAGTTATTGCCAAGATGTGTTTAGTTTATAACACTCTCCTCTAGAGTTACAGAAAAGTGTGAACATGATATTGATTCTAGAAAGGGCATTTTATAGTGTCTGTAATTGGTAAAAAAGGAAATTACAAAAATATATAGATTTCCATATTGAGAAGACATGTTCCACTCTACTCCCCCTCTCCTGATTTCCTGGCCTGAGGAGCTTTATGTTTGTCCTAAGCTCTTGAACGCGCTTGATAGAAACCAGATGTGGAGATAGTGAGATTTTATTGCCCGAGCCAGACTACCGACTTAGCAATCTTACAGGTTAAAAAAAGTGTGGGTAAGGGGTGGGGGAGTTATATATCTTCTTAAGCGGCCAAGCTAGATAATCACGAAACATGATAAAGTATATCAAAAGAAAGGCTCAACTTGAAATCTTTTTATTTCAGATCGTTATTTCATAACATAATAGTTGCATAAGAGATAAAAGGCGCAAAATAGAATATGCGGTTTGGTAAAGGCCTTCGATGCAAAATTAACGTTAAATATTTTTGTTTTGCCTTGGGTTGGCCCCATGACCCAAAAACAACAGTAAAAACTCTTTATCTACGGTGAGGACCCCCCACCCCCACCCCCCCACCCCCCCGCCCACACACACACACAATCACCCACGAATTATAATGTCTTGAACACGTGATGCAGAGCACGCCATATAAATATTATAGTAGCATTTAGCATCCTAAAGGTAGTCTCACAGCAAAACTTTTGTGTTCTTTTAAAAATGTGAGAATATATAATAGCAAATACAATACGAACTTAAATAATTGTAATGCATTTCTTTCTAACATTCAGTTTACATACGTTTTTTGGTAGCCTCTAAAAGTTTAAAATCTGAAAAATTGGAGAAAATAACAGAGTCAGCCAAGTACACGTTTGGGGAACACGTTTAAACACGTCATGATGGACATTTACAGGTGTAGGACCAGAACAGAGCTTCTTGTAAACAGTTTAGAACCAAGGGACCGAATTTGATTTGAGGACCAGAAGAGAGGCTTAACAGACGTAATGTGATTAAAAAGGCATTTAGACATTGAAATGAGAGTAAGTAAGGGACATCTCTGGCATACAACGGTTTCTAGCAAGTGAAGACGAACATGAGTGTAAGACAGACAAAATGCGAAATTTCAGCTCCGGTTTCCGGTTACCATATTAGTATCCTTAAGTTGCGCAAATGAGACCGCAATGATATGATCAAATAAACCGATTTAAATACCTCGGATTCATGTTGTCATCAGATGCGAAATGCGAAACAGAAATGAAGAAACGTATATCTATGTCAAAAGACACACTTAATAAGATTAACACTATACTAAAAAAATAGAAACATATCTATCAACATAATAATAAAAACATTGAAATCCTTCGTGTAGTCAGTATTCTTTTATGGTAATGAAAACTGTAATATCTCTATAAAAACTAAAAATAAATTGCAAGCTACCGACATGTGGTAATTACGAAGATTGTTGAGAATGTTCTGGACAGAAAGAAAGACCAATAAAGAAGTGTCATAACTTGCAGGAATACAACTCTCATTGAATAAAAAATTCAGAAAAAGACAAATGAAATCTCTATCCCATTCCATTCGAAAACACAGAATAGAAAAATTGGTACTCTGTGGGGAAAATTTAGGGATGAAGTAGAGGAAGACGAGGAATATCATGCATTGATAGCCTTAATGCCTTCGCAACATATCAACAGTTCAATAACGAGCTCATCCAATCGACTGAAAATAGAGTAAAATGTAGGAACATGATCGTCGATGTGATGATATATCTATATGCACCATATTTTCAGTCGATTGGATGATCTCGTTATTGTAAGTTGTTGATTTGTTGCGCGTATATATATGCGTGTGTATATATGCGTGTGTTTGTGTGTGTGTGTGTGTGTGTGTGTGTGTGATTTACGTTGAAATTCAGCCAAAAATAGCTGACTGTTACCTGTGGTTTGTTAAACGTGACCCATTTCTGTGGAACTGTGACTTCAAAGATCCGGGATGAGGTGAACGAAATATTTCAAACGATGTTGCATAAACAAGCTAGTGTTATTTGTGCTGGCACCGTCTGCTATCCATTAAAATGTCGACTGTTTGGAACTGTGGCTTAAAAGGCTGCGGTGAAAGAAATATTTCAAACGATGTTGCATAAACAAATTAGAGTTATTTGGGCTACCACTGACTGCCTTCATATTATGAAGAATCGACCGTGTGGTTTATGAAATTACTATGAACTGTATGAAATCATGAAATCATGCCTATCTATTTTCTTGGCTGACTGCAAAATAAAAAGTGCCATCATCTGTTGTGATATTCTTTAGAATAATAACTATATGACAGAATGCAGGAACTAAGGGAAAAGGACAGGCTGGAGAGCAGACCGGGGAAATATGTAGAAAGATAAAATTGTTAGATAAATGGTTGCGTAAATAGATCAATAGAAAGATAGATAGATAGATAGATAGATCTTGTTACGTTGCACTAGTACTCCTGTCAATTGTATCCTATCAATGGGCATTATAACTATAGCGAGTATAACTCGTGGTCACTTTTGGTGACAACTGTGGACAAAAATAAAGGAGCCCGGATGTGGAGGTTTTTGGACACACCCACTGAGAAAGAAAGGAGAAGAGAGACATGTAGGCGTGGAGAGCAAGGAGCTAGGATAGATGGACTATGTCTTAAATGATCATGGATGTATAGTACTATACATAAAGGCAAAGGAAAGTGAGTGACTGTACGTGCACTAGTACACAAGTTGATGGAAAATATGGAAGCTGGAAAAAGCGAATGATTGTACATGCATCAGTACACAAGTTGACGGAAAACAGAGAGGGAACTATGATTGACAAAAGATAAGTAACGTTGAGAAAAAACATTGACTATTACGAACAACGCAAGGAAGGTACATAGGCCTACACAAATGAACAATGACAATGAAATGGAAGTGCGTGGAATGACTCTTTTATCCTGTGAACACTAACTTTGTTTGAACATTATAAAGCCCATATTAGTTAAGTTATTTAGTTCAATGTTATTATATGTTTAGTTAGGTTTTAGTTCAATTAGTAAAATATTATCATTTTAATTTGAGGTGTTTGTTTTCATTCGTATTTATGTTTATGCTTTATTTTTTTTGTTATTAAAGAACTCAATATAGGACGTAACAAAAATGGGGGCTCGTCCGGGAGTTGACGCGTTTTCTACTGAACAAATAGACTGTATGAGTAGTTAGGTTCAAAGTTGTGTCTTATTTATGATAGTACAATAGTGTAGATAGTGTAGATAGTAGTAGATAGTGTAGTAGCCTAAAGATGTCGGAGTATAAAGAATTTTTAGAAAATCCCACAATAGAAGAGTTGCAAAAATTCAAAAAGGCCGATTTAATCGCAATATGTAAAATATTAGAGGCAGATGTCCAAACGTCTATGTCTAAGAGCCAGTTGAAAGAAATAATCATAAACATCAGTGACATTGATTTACCGTTAAGCTCAAGCTCTGATAAAGACGCAAAGAAAGCTAAGCCTGACATAGAATCGGAAATAATGCTTAAAGAATTAGACATCGAGTTGAAGAAATTAGATATTGCAAAAATAGAAAAGGAAAATGAGACGCTTGAGTTAAAAGTTAGGTTGAGAAAGATAGAACTAGAGGCTAGGGATAATCATAGTAGTAGTTTCACAAATTGTTCACAACAATTGAGGTTTGTCCCACCCTTCAACGAAAGAGAAGTAGACAAGTTTTTTATGCATTTTGAAAAGGTTGCAAAAAACTTAGAATGGCCGATAGATAAGTGGTGTATTATGCTCCAAAGTGTGCTCACGGGGAAGGCTCAGGAAACATATGCCGCGATTTCGTTAGAGGATAGCGGAAATTACGAGAAAGTTAAGCACTCCATTCTCAAAGCCTATGAATTAGTACCAGAGGCGTATAGGCAGCAATTTAGAGAGTTATACAAAAGGGACGACCAAACGTTTATTGAGTTTGCGCGTGAGAAAGAAATGTTATTCGATCGGTGGTGTAGGTCGAGAGATGTTGGATCAAATTTTGAGAAATTAAAGCAAATGATCTTAGTAGAGGAGTTTAAGGAATGTGTCTCAGATTCATTGAAAGTTCATATAGAAGAATCTCATGTAGATAGTTTGGAAGGTATAGCTACTATAGCCGACAACTATGCGTTAACGCATAAAAATTTTTCAAAGAGTAAAAAGGCTATGGAAAAGGTTTCTCCCAGTCAAACATTGTCACACCTGAATGAGTTTCCCCGAAATTTCCCTCGTACTGAAAGAAGGGAGGACGCTGGGTCAAAAGCATTTTTGGGACCATTTTGTAATTTTTGTAAGAAAAGAGGGCATGTTTTGAGTGAATGTTGGACTTTGCAAAGGAAGAAAGAAAACGAAACATTGAAATCAAATGCATTGGTATCGTTCCCTGTGACAGATTTTAGAGATGCTACTCAGAAGGATGAGGATAGGTTTTTGCCTTTCATCTCTGATGGGTACGTGTCTCTCGAGAACAATCCGAGTGATATGAAACCAATTAAAATATTAAGGGATACGGGGGCTAGCCAATCCTTGTTGTTAGAGGGAGTTTTGCCTTTAGATGAAAATTCGGACACGGGTGAGCAGGTTCTTGCGCAGGGTATAGAATGCGGTTTCTTGAACGTCCCTTTACATCAGATTCATTTGAAATCAGATTTAGTCTCAGGTCCTGTGATAGTTGGTGTGCGTCCATCTTTACCAATCAAAGGGGTGACATTGTTGCTTGGAAATGATTTAGCAGGAGGAAAAGTGATTGCAGATCCTATAGTTTGTAAAGATCCCCATGCTCACCTTGAAAATGAGGTTGAAAGTGAACGGTCTTGCTCCGTAAATGTGCTTACCCGTGCTATGTCAAAAACTGATGAGAAAAAGAATGAAATGGAAGGTATAATTGATGAATGTGTTGATGATGATGGAGAAAATGAACTGGATGTTGAGAGTAGTGAGTTACAACACCCAGAGAATGACTTAGTTACCGAACAAAGAAAGGATGCTGATTTAGCTAAACTTTTCAAATTAGTGTTGTCTGAGGTCGAGATAAAAAAGTCCCTCGTGGATATTTTATACGAGACGGAGTATTGATGAGAAAATGGAGATCTCCCGCTATACCTGCATCGGATGATTGGGCCACAATTTACCAAATTGTTGTACCTGAAAAATTCCGACCAGTGATTTTAAGCGTCGCACATGATAGTCCTATGGGAGGTCACCTTGGGGTTAGAAAAACGCAAGACAAAATTATGAAATATTTTTATTGGCCAAAGATCAGACGGGACGTCTCAGAATTTTGCAAAACCTGCCATGCGTGTCAAGTGGTGGGAAAACCAAACCAAAAAATCCCATTGGCTCCACTTCATCCAATACCAGCAGTTGACGAGCCATTTAGTAAAGTCATTGTAGATTGCGTTGGTCCTTTACCTAGAACGAAAACGGGAAATCAATTTCTACTTACAATCATGTGTTCTTCGACACGATTTCCGGAGGCAATACCTTTAAGAAATATCAAAGCAGCTACAGTGGCAAAGGCCATGATACATTTCTTTTCTTTTGTTGGGTTGCCGAAGGAAATCCAGTCTGATCAAGGCTCAAACTTTACTTCATCTTTGTTTCAACAGGTCGTATACGAGATCGGATCAAAGCAAATTTTCTCAAGCGCGTATCACCCGCAGTCACAGGGTGCATTGGAAAGATTCCATGGGACCTTGAAAAACATGTTACGGACATATTGTTATGAAAATGAAAAAGACTGGGACGAAGGTGTTGATCTCCTACTGTTTGCGGTAAGAGACGCAAAACAAGAATCTCTCGGTTTTAGTCCGTTTGAGTTGGTTTTTGGACATACTGTGCGTGGGCCGTTGATGGCATTAAAAGAAACAATGCTGGCAAAGAGTAGAAATCAAAGTAGTCCCTCACTGAATCTTCTCGATTATGTCACAAAATTTAGGCACAGATTGAATAGGGCTTGTGAATTTGCAAGGAACAATTTGAAGTCCGCGCAAATTGAAATGAAAAACTGGTACGATCAAAAATCTTGTGCCCGCGAATTCAACATAGGTGATGACGTTTTAGTCTTGTTACCTATTGTAGGAGATTCGTTACAGGCAAAATATCACGGTCCATATAAAGTGGTTAGAAAGATCAATGAGGTAGATTATGAAATACGAACTCCAGATCGTAAAAAAATGACTCAGTTGTGTCACATAAATATGATGAAGGCATATTTTGAACGCAAAGAAAAACGAGACAGAAGTGAAAAAGTGATGAATGTGGAATGGATGGAGAGGAAGTCAGTTGAGGAAAATGAGAATGATAGTGATGTTAAAGAAGTAAAACTTCACAACTCAGATGTATTAGAGAAATTAGATAGTGAATTACATCATTTATCACCAAAAGAAAGACACGAGTTGATTGAATTGATTTTGAAATACCGGTGTCTGTTTCCTGATGTACCAAATAGGACTAATGCAGCTGTACATGACGTTGTTCTGGAGGAGTGTACTCCTATCAAACAACACCCGTACAGACTAAGTCCTAAAAAGGCCGAGTTAATGCAGAAAGAGGTTGATTACATGCTCCAAAACGGTTTCATTGAATTGAGCCAGAGTAATTGGGCCTCTCCTTGTATTTTAGTACCAAAAGCAGATGGATCAATGAGATTTTGCACTGATTTCCGTAAGCTCAATGCAGTGACCAAAACTGACGCTTACCCCATTCCTAGAATGGACGATTGTATCGACAAGATAGGGAAAGCAAAATTCATAACAAAGTGCGATTTGCTCAAAGGGTATTGGTGTGTACCGTTGTCAGAACGAGCGAAAGAAATTTCTGCGTTTGTTACACCAACCGGTTTATACCAGTACAAAGTTATGGCGTTTGGTATGAAAAACTCGGGTGCTACCTTCCAAAGAATGATGGATAGTTGTTTGAATAACTTGGAAGGCGTTGAGAAATATATTGACGATATTGTGATTTTCAGCAATTCTTGGAAGGAACACATGATCAAGTTGGAAGAAGTTTTCCAAAGGTTAAAACAGGCTAGTCTGACCATAAATTTAGCCAAGTGTGAATTCGGTCAGGCAAAAGTTACGTATTTGGGACATGTCGTGGGTCAGGGGTGCGTAACACCTGTGGAAGCTAAGGTTAAAAACATCATTGATTTTCCTCAACCTCAGAACAAAAAAGAGCTTATGCGATTTTTAGGCATGTGTAGCTATTACAGGAAATTTTGCAAAAACTTTTCTGATGTTACTGCACCTTTGACCGATTTGTTAAAAAAGAGGAATGTTTTCAACTGGTCGTTAGAGTGTGACAACGCCTTCACTAAAGTGAAAGCGTTATTATGTTCAAACCCCGTGTTAATGGCACCTGACTTTGATAGGCCATTTAGATTAGCTATTGACGCTAGTGACGTAGGAGCGGGTGGAGTGTTATTGCAGTGTGATGGGTTTGGTATTGAACATCCTGTGGGATATTTTTCGAAGAAATTCAATTCTCATCAAAGAAATTATTCCACTATCGAAAAAGAAACGTTAGCACTAGTGTTAGCTCTGCAACATTTCGATGTCTATGTTGAATGTACACCTCAACCAGTGGTTGTGTACACTGATCACAACCCTTTAACATTCTTGCGAAAGATGAAAAATCATAACAGACGTCTGCTTAAATGGAGTTTATTGTTGCAAGAATATAATTTGGATATTGTGCATATTAGAGGAAAAGATAATTGCATCGCCGATGCTTTGTCCAGAATATATTAAATATTATAGTTAATTAAGGATCATGTTGTTGTGTATATAGTAGTTATAGTTAATTAAGAATTATGTAGTTTGTATACAATATTTATAGGAATATTCCAAGTTTAATCTTATCAATTAAACTTGACTTAAAAGGGGAAGGGTGTTACGTTGCACTAGTACTCCTGTCAATTGTATCCTATCAATGGGCATTATAACTATAGCGAGTATAACTCGTGGTCACTTTTGGTGACAACTGTGGACAAAAATAAAGGAGCCCGGATGTGGAGGTTTTTGGACACACCCACGGAGAAAGGAAGGAGAAGAGAGACATGTAGGCGTGGAGAGCAAGGAGCTAGGATAGATGGACTATGTCTTAAATGATCATGGATGTATAGTACTATACATAAAGGCAAAGGAAAGTGAGTGACTGTACGTGCACTAGTACACAAGTTGATGGAAAATATGGAAGCTGGAAAAAGCGAATGATTATATTGCATCAGTATACAAGTTGACGGAAAACAGAGAGGGAACTATGATTGACAAAAGATAAGTAACGTTGAGAAAAAGCATTGACTATTACGAACAACGCAAGGAAGGTACGTAGGCCTACACAAATGAACAATGACAATGAAATGGAAGTGCGTGGAATGACTCTTTTATCCTGTGAACATTAACTTTGTTTGAACATTATAAAGCCCATATTAGTTAAGTTATTTAGTTCAATGTTATTATATGTTTAGTTAGGTTTTAGTTCAATTAGTAAAATACTATCATTTTAATTTGAGGTGTTTGTTTTCATTCGTATTTATGTTTATGCTTTTTTTTTTTTTTTTTTTTTTTTTTTATTAAAGAACTCAATATAGGACGTAACACCCACGCTATGTCTTGGACACCTTGACCCATAGGAAGAAGCCGCCAGTGACGCATGCGTAATCGACATATACCGACTCCAATAGCAACTACATACAAGCATGACCCAGATTAGGTAGAGGGCGCTGATAAGGTATACGGTGACATGTAATTAAATGCTTTAGGGGTTCATTGTTCAATCAGTTGACGTGTGTCCCACTACTTGAGAATGTCGCCAATCTAGACTTTAAGTTTGTCTTGACCGCAGACGAAACTGTCACAACGCGAAGTCTTATTTTGGGATTTTGACTGTGGAGTAGGGTTTTTGTGAACTCTTCAAAGTTATCAGAAGCTCATGTTTCTTTGAATCAACGCCATGGAAAAGCAAGTCAATTTCATGTTAACATGTGTGATAACTTTGCTGGCAATCATACTGTCAGGTACGTAAAACAAACTGCTTAGCAGTCAATATTTTTTACAGTTTACAGAATACAATTAAAAGGCACAGTATGTGCGTTAGACGTTTGTAGTGCATAAGACGTACTGTTCTGGAAGTTTTGAATATTTTACCTTATAGTCTAGTGGGATTTCCACAAAAGATGAATAGTAGGGGCATTTTGGGGTAAAAGTTGGGAACCAGGCTTATTAGCATAATTTTGGGATGCTGAATCCGATTTACCCGGTTCCCAAGCGAAATTGTGCGTTTTTAACAGTCTAATTTGCAAAAAAAAAAAAAAAAAAAAAAAAAAAAAAAAATGGTCGCCAGATTTCCTATTTTCTGCAATATCTCTGGAACTAGACAGGCGAATATGACAAATGAAGTGTCTTTACCTATATTTTCAGGGTTGAGGAACATTATTAAGATGTTTCTGTTAGAATTAGATTTACGCAATTTTCCTAAATATGCAAATTAGGATCGCCATTACTGAAAAACCGTTTTACTCCTGTATCTCTGTAACTAGGCAAGCAAACATGACAAATGAAGTGTCTACACCTATGTTCTCAGGGTCAGGGAATGTGATAAATCAGATTTCTTGTCTGATGGGTAACACTGACTTTGTGAATCATGTCCGAGTAGCACCTTTTATTGTTTCTTCCCTGTATCTGTCAAACACTAGTCAATCTGCTGATAGTTAGAACCTGCCTTCAGAACTGCTCTTACGTACGTGTCAGCCAAACTACCAAAGGTCACTGCATTGCATCTTATGCAGAGCCTTTTTTCAAAAATCTCACTAGACTATTAGTCACTAAGGTTTATTCCTATCAAAAACCGTTGCGAAATTCTTGACTGTGCATCTTCTTCTTGAATTTTTTACAGATGTTTTATTTGTATTACCTCTCAAGTTATCTTATGACCCGAATAGTTAAATATGGACATATAGTGAATTATTTCACATTCATTAATGTAATTATTCATATCAAGAAATCGGTGTTGTGTTTTTGTTAATTCAAAAGTTTTGATAAACTTGTGGTGAATTTTGGACAGAAATATATTCAGTAGATACGAAACAATGGTGACATATGTTCTTATTCGCAATCTCAGTTGAATGTAGCACAGCCTTTTGGAGCGAAGGTGTGATACATACATATATACTGAGTAATCACATCCGTCTGTGCTTTATCTTTCCATTTTATCCTTAAATTCCAGTGGGGATTCAGTGGGTACAAAATACATCCGTGTCGAGTGACACATTAATAATGTGATACGTGATAAAACTGTCTACGTGTTTGCTTAGCCTCAATCAATTTGCTCTATAGCGTCCTAATTTGAACTCGTATACAGTATGTGCCGTCGCTGGCAAACATGCACCCTCAACGGGCTAATTTTTTTTTTTTTTTTACAAATTGAGAACGAATTCAGCTGTTAAGATTCACCGGTTTAAGAAATATAAGGATATCCTAATATAAAAAAGTAATAGGTATTAAAGTAAGGTCCATATATGGGGTTGCTTCCTGCTGTTTATTCTACCCGTATGGGTATAATAATAATAATAATAATAATAATAATAATAATAATAATAATAATAATAGTGAGTTTATTCAAACATAGCAACCAAAAGGTTGAAGTTGTACAGAAATGAATAAAAAAAATTGCATATTAAAATATTTACATAGAAAAATGATGTACAATAAGACCAAAATGAGTACGAAAACAGAACACAGATTCGTTTTTTTCTTTAACAATATCTTCAGCAAATCTAGACAAAGGAGTAAATTCAATCATGATTAAATGAAAATAACGATGAAAATAAAGGAAGTAAAGAGGGATGGTAGATTTATCATATAAAGCGTCTGTATGTTTCCTTGATTTTATGAAACATGTTACTAGTGATATTTACCGAACAGCATAACATTCAAAATAATAATTTGATCAGGTTTATATTTAACCTGACGCGTACTTTAGCCCATCGCTTTTTCTTTTCCAGTAAGCGGGGGTAAATATTGCTGCCCATATTACACGTCATCTGGCAGTTACAGAAGCTCGTTCTACTGTTCCAAGTACTGCTGCGGGACATCTACCAGTAAATACTGTTGTACCTCGTCCTATAGCAGATACTACCCGAGTTATTCATCTAGTTCCTTGTGCCCAACTGCGACAAAAGGTTCGTCCTCGGTACATGTACATTTTGTACAGTAAAGTTATCCTTTTGATCAATGATTCATTCTGTGTTATTCATTCAGTTCATTATGCCCTTGCAATCGCTACCCGAACAGGTTCGTATGCACAGCTGAGCCTGGACGGTATGATTTTCTATTTTGTCAGTGTTCTACATGTACTTTATATAGCCTTCTATCGAATGACAATATTATGATGTAAACATTTTAATGTGTAAAAACATTTGATATCAGACCTTGGTCTTGAATTTGCCTTGACCTTTGATATTGTTGTTTATAGGAGAATATTGCTGCCCATATTACACGTCATCTGGCAGTTACAGAAGCTCGTTCTACTGTTCCAAGTACTGCTGCGGGACATCTACCAGTAAATACTGTTGTACCTCGTCCTATAGCAGATACTACCCGAGTTATTCATCTAGTTCCTTGTGCCCAACTGCGACAAAAGGTTTGTACTCGGTACATGTACATTTTGTACATTAAAGTTATCCTTTTGATCAATGATTCATTCTGTGTTATTCATTCAGTTCATTATGCCTTTGCAATCGCTACCCGAACAGGTTCGTATGCAAAGCTGGGCCTGGACGGTATGATTTTCTATTTTGTCAGTGTTCTACTTTATATAGCCTTCTATCGAATGACAATATTATGATGTGAACATTAAACATTTGATATCAGACCTTGGTGTTGAATTTGCCTTGACCTTTGATATTGTTGTTTATAGGAGAATATTGCTGTGCACATTACACGTCATCTGGCAGTTACAAGAGTTCGTTCTACTGTCCCAAGTACTGCTGCGGGACGTCTACCAGTAAATACTGTTGTACCTCGTCCTATAGCAGATACTACTCGAGTTATTCATTAAGTTCCTTGTGCCCAACTGCGACAAAAGGTTCGTACTCGGTACATGTACATTTTGTACATTAAAGTTATCCTTTTGATCAATGATTCATTCTGTGTTATTCATTCAGTTCATTATGCCCTTGCAATCGCTACCCGAACAGGTTCGTATGCAAAGCTGGGCCTGGACGGTATGATTTTCCATTTTGTCAGTGTTCTACTTTATATAGCCTTCTATCGAATGACAATATTATGATGTGAACATTAAACATTTGATATCAGACCTTGGTGTTGAATTTGCCTTGACCTTTGATATTGTTCTTTATAGGAGAATATTGCTGTGCATATTACACGTCATCTGGCATTTACAAGAGTTCGTTCTACTGTTCCAAGTACTGCTGTGGGACGTCTACCAGTAAATACTGTTGTTCCTCTGCATACAATAGTTACTATGATAGTTATTCCTCGCTTTCCTCATGTCCCGACCCTACGAACAGTCCAGGCAGTCCAGGTGCTTCAAATATGTACGTATTCCAAAGTATGGTGTTCACAGTGTACGCACGTCTTTTTGTGTAGTTGGCCTATAATGTAGGTTCGTTTTTATGTGTATTTTTATTTACATACTGTACCTGTTATATGTTTGCGTGTGTTAACAAAAATTTACTGTCTTTCATCATTTGTACGGTTTGGCAGTTACTGGGATTCAAAGATCTGAACATATATGTATATACGGATACGGATACGTTTTTTTTTTTTTTTTTTTGAGGGGGGGGGGGGGATAGTGTCACGGTTTTTGAATGTGTAACCTTTATTAAACTATTAACTCGGATTTTCAATTTATTTCGTTTTAGAATCGGTATCATAATTGGCTCTGTAGTCGGTTTCATTGTCCTATGTGTCATAATAGGATCCGTCATCTGTTGTGCAACAGGGTGCTGTAATAAGCAAAGGAGAGGAGCAGGTAAGTGAAAGACGCAATTAATTCATGTGACTTTCTCCGTCTGATAACACCGTCGGACATTTAAAATCTGCATTTAAAACCGAAAGAAGCCCATGGTAGAAGAATGTTAGATAAACTATGGGCTGTGGGTACACTGTAATACTATAGAATGTATTTTTCAGTGGCACACGCCCCTAGAAATACCATTGTGTACACAACAGCGACTGTAGGACAAGGTTACACAATCGGGCTGTCGTCACCTCCTCCAAATACTGGGTATGGGCCAGGAATGTCTCAACAGTTCGTTGCACAGGGGTCAGGGATACAGGCGCCAAATGCCGGGTATGGACCAGGTTTGCCACCGCCAACTACAGGACTAAGACCAGGATTGACACCCAATCCATTACCAGGAGTACCTGTACTTGCATCGGATGTACCGAGCGGATCCAGTAATGCCGAACCACCCAGTAATGCCGAACCCCCTCCCCAATATACGGAAAAAGATGCTGCCGAACCCCCTCCTCCTTACCCTCCTACAGAGGATGGAAACCCTCCTCCCGCTTACCCTCCCACAGATGCTGCGTACCGTCCAACAAGATAAAAAACAGTAATTGATGCCAAATATCTTATGCATTTTGTAAAATCTAGTTATACTGGGTGATGGGGGGGGGGGGGGGTTGTTCCACCCAAGAGTCAAAACTTGCTTTAAACGTTGTAAATTTGCAAGGCTTGAGTTCATCCTGTAAAGTGCTCTCAATATTCGTCCCAAGTTAATTTGGTTCATATATTAAAGGCTTACACGGTCTTTTTGGTGTGTATTCGCATGGGAAGCAGCTCTGACGACACAACACAACCTTAACGTTTTTTTATATGAAGCATGTTGTTGCAAACGCGAGGACGTTGCAAAAATGTCTCCTTAATTACAATGGATAAAATCCTATTTGTCTTTTTTTAAATACCATTTTACAGTAATCAAAGAAAATGATTTCATTCAAAAAATGTTTATTTTATCACAAAAAGTATAATTGTAATATTGTCTTTTGCAGTAGCTAAATTAAGGGCTAATTTTTAATGAGCAAGCAGATTTTGTACAGGAATGTTTTTTTTTTATTGCGCCATTTTAGATTTCCTGCATGGTACGTAAAACACCCAAACCCAATATAGAGGTGCATTTCACATGCTGAAGGGTCAAAAAATGAAAATGAATGAATTCAACATTGTACACAATATTTCAAAACATATATGTGTATATTGTAAAAATCCGCGACTGTCTCAACTGAAATTCAATTTTTAAATTTTATCATGTCTTTAACATTACGCAAAGAGCCCTATATGGTAACGTATGTTCCAAAAAACCGTACGGTAACGTATGTTCTTGCCATTTAATTTTCATTTTTATGCCGCGTTCCGATATATTTTTTAGTGGTTCAGTCATTATAAATTAGACATGACGTAAGGACGTTTTTATAAATATTTAAACTGTATCTCAAGGGGCTTTGCATCATGTTCCCTAGAAAAATTGTCAAAATGTTTCATTTTGTTCAAGTACTTGTGTGCAAGAGATACAATCTTTTCTTTTGCTGACCGAACAATACATTGTGGTTCCATGATAGTTTGACATTTCTGATATAATATTTGGATCATGAAGGGAAATTTTTTTATTTGATGCTTATTTTACTGTCGGTAGGGTGTATTTTCCCCATTTTTTAAATATTCTGTGACAAGCAAACTAAAGTCGCTCAAAAACAATTAACTGCTCTATACAGAAGATTATTATAATTTTTAGCAACGTTATATTTGTAGGAGATAAATCAATGAACAAAACCAGTAATAACTGAATTTTCAAAGTGAGCAGAACGATTCACAGTTGGACGTTTTGTGTTTGTGACAGTAACGTATGTTCCTTTTTAGGGTTAATCGATGAATTATTTTTAATTATTCATGGTTCCAGGAGAGTGAAACTTTAATACAAGCTTCTTCATGTGGGACCCGAAAATAATCAAACACAGTTAGCAATCTGTGCAGTAGCCTAAATATTTTAATAACATGCTTGTGACATCAATTTCACCTCTATATTGGGTTTGGAAAAAGTCTAAAAAATCCATTTATCTTTTATAGTTAAAGAGTATAGTAAGGAATAGAGTTTTTATACAGGATGAAGTTCAACACTTTTGAACTTGAAATTATTTCAACCTCTTATTTGCATGTTTATATTATTTATAAGCCGCCCATGATGTTTGTCCACTGTCTTGTTTGTTGTTAACTTGCATGGTTTACTTTGAATTATACATATTACCTTTTATTACTAATAAATTTTTGCATTGCTGCAATTGAACAAAACTTACCAAAGGTAGAGGTAAAATGTGCCAGGAGTACAATGTATAACTCCCCATGAGGCCAATTGTATCTTATCTCAATGTTGTGATACATTAATGAAATAAACGGCTTCTCATTGGATACAACGACCAAAGAGATTTTGTTCAAATCAAATTTGTCAGTGACATTAATTACCACAATGTATTTTGCCCCTTCCTTTGCATGATTGTAATAATGTAATAAAATCGAACGTTTTTTAACTCAGGTTAAATTGATTTTCTTTTCAAAATGTAATATATCCCACATATACCTCCAGAAAGCGAAGGTGAGGGTGTGCTTCTTCCATTGTCGTCTTTATGGCTAATAAACATGTTTTCATTTGCCAGGAATGAAACATTTTGGCCAATACAACAATCAAAACTTGCAAAATATGCTAGCATCTGCAAGATATACTTTTTACAGGCTTCGCTTGAATGATAAGATGATAAAAATTTGGCATAAATTAAGGAAGTTTATTGTCGGTATGATCGTCAGTCACCAGCCATGTGTTAATTTGAGAACAGCATCTGTCGGACGAGTACGATGTTAACTCTAACGTACGGACACTTGACGTTGTATCTCGGACACCTTGCCCGATAGGAAGAAGCCGCCAGTGACGCATGCGTAATCGACTTATCACGACTCCAATAGCAACTACATACAAGTATGCCTCATATTAGCTGGAGGTCGCTGATATGATATACGGTGACATGTCACTAAATGCTTTAGGGGATTCACTGTTCAATCAGTTGACGTGTGCCCCACTGCTTGGGAATGTCGCCAATCTAGACTTTAACTTCGTCTGTAACGCAGACGAAACTGCCACAACGCGAAGTCATATTTTGGGATTTTGACGATCTCTGTGGAGTAAGGTTTTTTGCAAACTCTTTAAAGTTATCACAAGCTTATAATTCTTTGAATCAACGCCATGGAAAAGCAAATCAAGATTGTGTTAACATGTGTAATAACTTTGCTGGCAATCATACTGTCAGGTACGTAAAACTGCTTAACAGTCAATATTGCTTAACAGTCAATATTTTTACAGTGTTCAGAATACAATTAAAAGGTACATAATGTGCGTTAGACGTTTGTAGTGCTTAAAACTTATTGTTCTGGAAGTTTTGAATATTTTCTCTTAGTGACTAAGGTTTATTCCTAACAAAAACCATCGCGAAATCCCTTAATCCGTCTTCGAATCCTACATTTCTGATTACACTTTTACGAATGATTCTACCAGTCTCTATCTCATTGCAGGAGTGACACAAAATTAAAAACATCGAAATCAAAACCATTGGAAAATTATGATGACTGTACATCTTCCTTTTGAAACTTTTTTCTTACAAATAGTTCACTTTTATCTCCTCTAAAGGTTAAGATATCTATTAAACTAAATAGTTAAATATAAACATATATTATAGTGAATTATTTCACCTTCATTAATGCCATTATTCATATAAAAAAATCGGTGCTGTATTTTTGTTAATACAGAAGTTTTGATAGCTTGTGGTGAATATTTGGACACAAATATTTTCAGAAGATACGAAACAATGGTGACATATATTTTTCTTATACACAAACCAGTTGAAGGTAGCATAGCCTTTTGAAGCGAAGGCGTACGTGATACACGTACTGAGTAATCACATCCGTTAATGCTTTATCTTTCCATTTTATCCTTAAATTTCAGTGCTGATACATCCCTGTAGAGTGACACATTAATATTGTGATAAAACTGTCTGCATGTTTGTTCAACCTTAATAAATTTGCTTAGCGTCCTATTTTGCCCTGTATGATATGTAACATCGGGGGCAAACAACCGACCTCAGCGGGCCAATAGTTTTGTACAAATTGAGAACAAATTGAGCGGCGAAGATTTATTGATTTTAAGCAATAAGGATATATATATAGCTTTTTATAAAAAAGGAACGGGTATTGAAGTGAGGTCCTTATATGTACTGTAGTTGCTTTATGCTGTGAAAACTACCTGCATGACTATAATAATAATAATAATAATAAATAATAATAATAATAACAGTGATGATGATGAGTTTATTAAGACATAGGAACCAAAATAGTGCTGTCGTACAGAAAATGAATAAGAATAAATTTTACAAATTTACAAATTAAAATATTTACATATAATGTAGGATACGCAATAAGACCAAAATGAGTATAACATAAAATAAAGACTCGTTATCTTAACCAAAATTTTACACAAATATAATCAAAGGTGTAGAAACAATAATGGTTATATGAAAAGAAATGAAGATAAAGGAAATAAAGAAGGACAGTACATTAATCATACGAAGTGGTTGTATGTTTCCTTGATTTAATTAAACATGCTACGAGCATCAGTTACTAAACAATAAAACATAGGAAGCAATAATTTGATCTAGTTCATTTTTAACTAAAGGCTTACTTTTGCCCATCGCTTTTTCTTTTACAGTGAACGGAGACGAATATTGCTGTCCGTATTACTCGGCATTAAGCAATTACAGAAGCACGTTCTACTGTTCCGAGTACTGCTGCGGGACATCTACTTATAAATACTGCTGTGACTCGCTCGTTGACAGATACTCCCCGAGTTATTCCTATAGATCGTTATGCCCCGCCGCCCCCACTCCAACCACAACAACAGGTTCGTAAAAATTAATATGTCATAATTGAGTCGAGTTAGGCCTATTCATTAAGTTCACGATGGCCAATCGCTCACGCACTGCTTCGTATGCACAATTGGGCTTGGTTATGGTCGGTGTAATTTTTCATTTTGTAATTATCGTTCAATGATTCCAATGAAAATTTTGTGATATCTGACCTTGACCCGAATTTTGCCGTGACGTTTGACATTGTTGGTTACAGGAGAATATTGCTGCGCATATTACAACTCAAATGGCACTTACATCAGGTCGTTCTACTGTTCCGATTACTGCTGTGGAACATCTAATGATAAATACTGCTGTTCCTCTTCATACTATAGATACTATAAGAGCTATTCCTCTCTTTCCACATGTTCCGTCACTGCGAGCAGTCCAAGTGCCCCAGATATGTACGTATTCCAAAGTATGGTGTTCACAGTGTAAACACGTCTTTGTGTGTAAGAATGTGGATTACCGTTTATGTGCGTTTGTGTCTGTACATATTTTGACTGTTGTATGTGTGCTTGTGTTTACAAATTTTACTGTCTCGAATCACTTTATGGTTTGGATTAAAATTCTGGTTGGCAATAGCAAGGGCGATGACAAGGGCAAGCACAAAGGTCAGAATATATAAGAAAATATACGTATAAACATACAGTGACTCTTAAATGATAATGAAATAAGTAAAAAATAATAATTAATACTAATGTAAGAAATATATGGTGTATGAAATATTCTACTTTTGACTAATTGTCCCGTGTTAGAATAGACTTAATATTTCGTCTCTAGTTCTTATTGAAATAGGGACGTTTTTTTTGAATGGATGCACGGCCTTTATAAAACTATTAAATAATATTTAATTTTTTTCTCTTTTAGAATCGGTATCATAATTGGCTCTGTAGTCGGTTTCGTTGTCCTGTGTGTTATAATAGGATCTATCATCTGCTGTGCAACCGGGTGCTGTAATAATCAAAGGAGAGGAGCAGGTAAGTGAAAGATACATAATTAATACATGTGACTTTCTCCGTCTGTTAATGCTTTCGGGCACTTAAAATATGCATCGAAAACAGAAAAAGTACATGGCAGAAGAATGTTTAAGTAAAGGGCTGCAGGTAATAATATAAAAATATTTTTTCAGTGACACAAATCCCTAGAAATACCATTGTGTACACAACAACGACCATACCGGTAGGACAGGCCTACACAATCGGGCTGTCGTCACCTCCACCAAATACAGGGTATGGGCCAGGAATGTCTCAGCAGTTCGTTGCACAGGGGTCAGGGATACAGGAGCCAAATGTCGGGTATAGGCCAGGAATGCCACCACCAAGTACAGGACAAGGACCAGCATTGACACCCAATTCATTACCAGGGGTACCTGTACCTGCATCGGATGCACCGAGCGGATCCAGTAATGCCGAACCACCTAGTAATGCCGAACCCCCTCCCCAATATGCGGAAAAAGATGCTGCCGAACCCCCTCCCCCTTACCCTCCTACAGAGGATGGAAACCCCCCTCCCGCTTACCCTCCCACAGATGCTGCATACCGCCCAAAAAATAAAAAACGGTAATTGATACCAAATATCCTATGCTATTTTAAATACTAGTTATGCTGTTCCACCCAAGAGTCAAAACTTGCTTTAACTGTTGTAAATTTGCAAGGCTTGGGTTTATCCTGTAAACTGCTTATAATATTCCGTCCCAAAGATTTTAATTGGGTTCATATAAAGGCTTTTAGCAGGTTGGGTAATGATCAGAATTTTTTTCGTTCATATAATTTCCAACCAAGCGGGCAGTATGAGGAGTAGCATTGTCATGCTGCAAGTAAAAGTTGTCCTGGAATATTGCACGTACTGTACAAATGGGATGGAATGGTTCTGTAAGGTATAACAAGGTGTTGTAGGGTGCTGTTGTTTTCCAAAAGAGCCAATTGGCTGACACCGATGGGGCAAAAAACATCTCCGTAAATGAACAGAACTGTTCTGCTTCCAGCGACCCCGAAATCTACATTTTCTTGTAGCACCTCTCCTCCAGCAAGAGGACGCACACGCAGACAGCTGTCACATAAGTTCCATACTTTATCTAACCAGAGAATTATATATCGTTGGTTCTAATAAAGCCATGATGCTAGCAGGTGCGTCTTTTTAATGTTTAAAACATTTTAAACACATTGATGTAATACGCTTTGCCTTTGTGAAAAGATATCTGCCTTCATTACAATGCATTTTATTCCGATGTATTATGGATTTTTAATCTATTAGTTTTCAGAAATTAAAGAAAATTACTGCACACAAAGAATATTTGATTGAAACAATGTAGTTTTGATATTGTCTTTTTTTTTCATTGTAGCCAATAAACATTTCACAAAAAACATGAATGATTTTATTCCTAAAAAAAATAGTCAATTCTAAATAATGACCGATTCTAAATAATCGATAACAACTGTAAAAACGTTTGGAATGCTAACCTTAAAAAATCATTTTACTTCTCCCGCATGGCATTTCATAATTGCAAAAATTGTTCAGTTTACCTTATGGTAATGAAATACAGCTAAAAATATGGTTTTAATGTCAGGAATGTGAAACTTTTAAGTTACAAGTGATTTAAGCCTCATTGATATATCTCATATAATTTATAAACCGTTCATGATGTTGCTTCAATGTCTTGCTTGTTATAATTGACATAACATAATTTTTATTTTATTATATATGAAGTTTTATTATTAAGGGTTCTTTTTTCTTTGCTGCAATTGAACAAAACTGACCAAACAGAGAATGAAAATGTCAGTGGTGTTAATCGCCTTTAAAACGATCTAATGCTATATAATAACTCACACTATTCTTTTACTAGAGGGCCTTTCAATAAAAGCGGCCTCTATCGGCCAAATTTCGAACACCGTATTTGTGTTTGTCCTTTACTTATATATTCGCTTGGGTTAATGAGGAGACATAAAGAATTGTAGCTTATATCAATGCTATATATTATATTAATAAAATAAGCTACCTTCATTAGATACAGTAATTAAGAACAACATCAAAATCGTCAGTGATATGATTAAAAAAAAATGCACCTCCCTCTAACAAACTCATTAGTAGCTACATGCAAACATGACTCATTTCAGTTGGCAGTCGCTGATAAGCACATTCAATACTTCATACGAAATGCACTTGGAAATCACTGTTCAATCAGTAAATGGGTGACCTGAAACGTGGGAATGTCACCTATCTAGATCATAAACTGTAGCATGTGGACCGGGAAATGTCGCTGTATACACGGCGGCGACCATAGGGCAGGGCTACCCAGTCGGGTTTTCATCACCTCCACCATATACGGGGTATGAGCCAGGAATTCCACAACCGACTACAGGACTAGGACCAGGATTGGCACCCAATTCAGGACCAGGGGTACCTGCACCGGATGCACTGAGCGGATCCAGTCATGCCTAACCCCCTCCACTGCACCCGGGAAGAGATGCTGCATACCCCCCTACCCCTCCCTCTTACCTTCCCTTAAATACCATATTACAGTAATCAAGGAAAATGATTACATTCAAAGAATGACAATTTTATCACAAAAAGTATAATTGTAATATTGTCTTTTACAATTTTACATTGTGGTGATTTATGTCACTGACATAATCTGCTATTAATCTGCTATTAAGCAAAGTTGGCTGAAATACAAAATCAAATAATCTTTGCAAAAGTATTCATTTATCAGTCATTTCAATTATCACTTAAACTGTGTTTAAACTATTAAAAAAAGCAATAAGTGTTATTGGCCAATAAACGATTGTGTCATGGAAGGGAGGTTGCAATCATGCTGTCATAAAGCCCATGTAGTACAATAAATAAGAGTTTTATACTTTTTACATGCATCACTTGAATGATAAGATGATTAAACTTTGGCATAAATAAAGGAAGTTTACTGTCTGATATGATCGTAAGTCACCAGTCATGACACTTTTTTTTATTTGAGAACAGCATCTGACGGGCGAGTACAATGTAAAGTCTAACGTACGGACACTTGACGTCGCTACATGTATGTCATGGTCACCTTGAAGAAGCCGCCAGTGACGCATGCGTAATCGACTTATAACGACTACAATAGCAACTGCATACATACAAGCATGACCCATGTTAGCCGGAGGTCTTATAAGATAAACGTTGTCATAAAATGTCATAAAATACTTAAGGGGCTCAGTGACGTGTGCCCCACTGCTTGGGAATGTCGCCAATCTAGACTTAAAGTTCCTCTGGACCGCAGACGAAACTGTCACAACGCAAAGTCATAGTTTCGGATTTTGACGATCTTTGTGGAGTAAGAGTTTTGTCTTCAAAGTTATCACTAGCTTATAACTGCTTGAATCAACGCTATGGGAAAGCAAGTCAAGTTCATGTTAACATGTGTGATAATGTTTTTGGCAATCAACCTGTCAGGTATGTAAAATGAACTGCTTAATAATTAATATTGTTACATTTTACAGAATACTTTTAAAAGACACACAATGTGCGTAAGACCTTTTGAGTGCTTTTAAATTAAAAAAAACATATTGTTCTGGAAGCGTAGAATATTTTACCTTTGTCACTATGGTTTATTCCTACCAAAAACCATTGCGAAATCCCTTAAAGGGATAATAACTCTTCGTTTTGGCCAAAAAATGAATTTTCCTGGAGTAAACAACAATTTCCCCATACTCACCAATGGTTAGTGAATCCATTTTTACATTCAAAGTTAGTCCCTGGTTTTTTTCTAAAAAGTTTGGTTTTTTGTTAAAATCTCTTAAGAGATTATAACATAGTATAGCCATCAATGGAGGTCATGTGATCTGAAGACAAGCTCAGATATCAGAATAATAGCTATAACTGCTGTTTTTGTCGTAAAACAGAATATGTTATTTCTTTGAGTTATTCACAATGTTTTTATTGTGAAATATAGATCTCATAGGAAGAGTTATTATCCCTTTAAGTTCTACATTTCTGATTATACTTTTACGAATGATTCTACCAGTCTGCATCTCAATTGCAGGAGTGACACAAAATTAAAAACACCGTCATCAAAACCACTGGAAAATTATGATGACTGTACATCTTCCTTTATGAAACTCTTTTTCTTACAAATGTTTTATTTTTATGGCCTCTAATGCTTAAGTTATCTAAAAACTTGAATAATTCAATATGGACATATATTGTAGTGAATTATTTCACATCCATTAATGATATTATTCATATCAAGAAAAATGTGTTTTTGTTAATTCAATAGTATGATAAGCCTGTTGTGAATTTTAGACAAATATTTTCAGTGAATGATGCGAAACAATGGTGACATATTCCTTATTTACAACCCAATTGAATTTTGCACAGCCTTTTAGAGCGAAGGTGTGATACATATACTGAGTAATCACATCCTTTAGTGCTTTATCTTTCCATTGTATCCTTAAATTTCAATGAGTACAAAATACAATAAATACAATAAAATGGGTCGAGTGACGCATTAATAATGCCATACGTGATAAAACAATGTGTTTATATACTGTTCCGCAATAAATTTGCTTAGCGTCCTATTTTGAACTCGTATATATAACATCGTTCGCAAACAACCAACCTCAGGGGGACAATTATAAAAAAGGAATTGAGCTGTAAAGATATAATGATCAGGGGCAGACCCAGGATTATTTGAAGGGGGGTCGAACGGTGCCATTTGGTACGGTTTAAATCAGCTGGTCAAAATTCTAATTCCAACAGGGGAATATAAATGTGATTTTTTTTCAGAAACCGAAGGGGGGTCAGGACCCCCCTGACCCTCCCTCTAAACCCGCTACTGCTGATTATAAGCAATAAGGAAGTATTAGAAAAAATAACGGGTATTGAAGTGAGGTCCATATATGGGGTTGGTTCCTGCTGTCTATGCTACCTGTATGACTATAATAATAATAATAATAATAATAATAATAATAATAATAATAATAATAATAGTAAATTTATTAAAACATATAAACCAAAAGGTTGAACTTGTACAAAAAATGAATAAAAATAAAATTTACATCTTAGAATATTTACATATAATAAAGGATACACAATAAGACCAAAATGAGTACAAAATAAAGCACAGACTCGGTAATTCCTTAACCAAAATCTTGAACACATATAATCAAAAGTGTAGATACAATTATGATTATATGAAAAGAAAAATGAAGGTAAAGAAAGTAAAGAAGGATAGTAAATTAATCATACTGTATGTTCCCTTGATTTAATTAAACATGCAACAGTAACTAAACATCATAACATTGGAAATAATAAATTAATCAGGTTCAATTTCAACTTGACGTTTTTTCCAGTAAGCGGGGGTGAATATTGCTGCCCATATTACACGTCATCTGGCAGTTACAGAGGTTCGTTGTACTGTTCCTATTACTGCTGCGGGACATCTACCAGTAAATACTGCTGTACCTCTGCATACGATAGTTACTATGATAGTTATTCCTCTCTTTCCACAGGCACCGTCCCTACGCACAGTCCAGGCAGTCCAGGTGCTTTAGAAATGTACGTATTCCAAAGTATGGTGTTCACAGTGTAATAATGTTTGTTCGTTTTTTTTTTTTTTTTTTTTTTTTTTTTTTTTTTTTTTTTTTTTTTTTTTGTGTACTTTTATTTACATTTCGTAACTGTTATATGTTTGCGTGTGTTAACAAAATTCTACTGTCTTGCATCATTTTTTACTGTTCTTCAAATTTTGATTGGCAGCACCAACGGCAATGACACTTGCAGACACAAAGATCAGAATATATACGGAGATGTATACGTAAAGTCAATATTAACAGTCACTGTATGTCTCCATAGGCCCTATATATTATATATATTACATAGCAATGAAATAAATAAATGAATAACGATACTTATGACAACATGTAAAAAAAGTTTGCGTTTTTAAAAATCCTACTTTTGACTTATCGCGGGTTAAAATAGACTTAATATTTCGGCCCGATTTTTTTNCTAAGTCAGATCAGCTTTCTGGTCGTAAATCTGACCTAGCCATTTACCGTAAATTTGACCTGGCTATTTATCCAACCCTCCTGATTGTAAAAATCCACCAAACACCTTAGCAATATATGACATGTTACTACTGCATGTGCAACAAACAATCATAATTTTTCATAACATTTTTTTTTTTTTTTTTTTTTTGGAAATAGGGTCATGGTTTCTGAATGTGTGGCCTTTATTAAACTGTTAACTCGGGTTTTGAATTTTTTCCGCTTTAGGAGCGTTATTATAGTTGGCTCTACAGTCGGTTTCCTTACCATGTGTGCCTTAATCTGCTGTTGCTATTGTAAACGAAGGAGAGGAGGCGGTAAGGAAAAGACATGTGACTCTTTCCGTCTGATAATGCCGTCTGAAACTTTTTCAATTTGCATTGAAAACAAACAAAAAAAATACATGGTAGAAGAACGTTAACGTAAGGGGCTGCAGGTAATTCTATATAATATATTTTTTCAGTGATACAAACCCCTAGAAATGCCATTGTGTACACAACAGCGACCGTACCAGTAGGACAAGGCTACTCAATTGGGCTGTCGTCACCTCCACCAAATACAGGATATGGGCCAGGAATGTCTCAACAGTTCGTTGCACAGGGGTCAGGGATACAGGCGCCAAATGCCTGATATGGACCAGGAATGATACCACCAACCACAGAACTAGGACCAGAATTGACACACGATTCATTACCATGGGAACCTGTAACTGCATCGGATGCACCGAGTGGATTCGGTAATGACCGGACCACCCAGTTATGCCGAACCCCCTCCCCAATATACATAAATAGATGCTACCTATCCCCCCACCCCCCCCCCCCGCAAGAAATCGCAGTAGAAACTCCAGCGCAGTAGACTACTGCAATCATACTGCAAACATGCTTCAAATCTGCTTCGATTAGGGAGCTAATTAGCATATTTGAAACATGCTTCTATCATGCTGCTAATCTACTGCATTAATGCCCCTCTCTGTACAAACCTATGTACTTTTTGGAGTAGAATTGCAGTAGCTATACTGCATATATCTATACTGCAAATATGCTCCGCACCACTACTGCGTTAATGCTTCTTTGGTACTTCGATACTACTGCATTTTCGTGCGGGCCTCCTCCAGGAATGTGACACTTTTAAGTTACAAGTGATTTTAGCCTCATTAATATATTTCATATAATTTATAAACCGTTCAGGATGTTGATTCAATGTCTGCTTGTTGTTAATTGACATAACGTCATTTTTATTTTATTATATCTATAGTTTTGTTATTATGAATTCTTTTTTCTTTGCTGCAATTGAGCAAAACTGACCAAACAGAGAATAAAAATGACAGTGGTGTTAATCGCTTTTAAAACGATCTAATGCAATATAATAACTCACACTATTCTTTTACTAGAGGGGCCTTTCAATAAAAGCGGCCGCTATCGGCCAAATTTCGAACACCATATTTGTGTTTGTCCTTTACTTATATATTCGCTTGGGTTAATGAGGAGACATAAAGAACTGTAGCTTATATCGATGCTAATTAGATACAGTAACAACATCAAAATCGTCAGTCAATATGATTCACCAAAATGCACCCCCTTCTAACAAACCCAAGAGCAGCTATACATATAAACATGACCCACTTAAGCTGGCAGTCGCTGATAAGAACATTAGACAGCTGATATGAAATGCACTGGGAAATCACTGTTCAGTCAGTAAATGACCTGAAACGTTGAAAGGTCACCCATCTAGGTCGTAGGTTCGACAAGACCGAAGGCGGGACTGTCTAAGCATGTGGTCGTATTTTAGGATTATGACGAACTATTTGAAGTAGAAGATTTTTGCGAACTACTCAAAGTAGTCATATACTAATAAATTTCATATCAACGCCATGGATATCCATGTCAAGTCTACATGTATGTTCACATGTGTGGTGATGGTGGTAATCATACAGTCGGGTAAAAAAATAAACCGCTAAAGATTAATATATTTTTCAACATATATAAAACACTGCGGGCACGTTTTAATATATTATTATTATTATTATTAGGATTCCCCATAGAGGAATACTATTGTTTTTGGTATTCTTATTCTTCTTCTTCTTATTATTATTATTTTTCGTCAAAAAATTTCTTTCTAAAATTCTGAAAAAATTCATACTGATAGCCTATGAAAAGTTATTCCTGTCCACCCAATCTTTTTGACCTTGACCTAATTTTCAAGGTCACAGAGCCTTTTAAAGTGAAATTTTTGCAAATTTCAAAATGCAATATCTCCTAGAATTTTCAACATTTTGACAAATCCTTTCACAGGTGAGGTTACACAATACATGTAATTCTATATCAAGTGACTTAATTTTAGGAAAGTAGGTCAGGTCAAGGTCAACCTATTGCAAAATATGCTCCAGGAGGTTGACACTCGGCAGGGGGTAAACCAGATGTCACAGAGCCACAAGGATGATGTAAAAAGTTGCCCTAGATATCTATCCAGTGCAGTATCTAATAATATTGACAATTGACTGATTAGTTTTTTTAATATAGATTTTTAAATATTAATAATTTCACAGAAATAGTGACTTTGTCAATTTCTCCATGAAACATTGATTTTTTGTGATAACATGCTATAGTAAACTACCCCAAACGTGTACCCAACACCCTCAAATCAAATGTCAAATTTGACCTTGACCCTCATTTTCAAGGTCATTCGGCTATTTCATGGAGAGATATTGAAGTGGGCTAAAAGTGATGTTTTTTGACCCCCCCCCCAATTCGCACATGCTCTTTCAGAATAAGGGGTCAAATTTCACCCATGACCTTCACATGACCTTGTAAGAGCATTTCCACACCTATTTTGCAGAGGAATCCTCTGCCATTGGCTTAAGCCAGTTGCAGTCTAGTTATTATTATTATTATTATATTCCCTACACAAAAATGTTGAGAACAACCGCAACCAGTCTTCTTCTATGCTTCATTGATCCCCACTGAGTGCAGCATAATCTCGAAAAGTGGGTGATTGATAACATGTACAAAAATGCCAGTTCAAAGCAGCCTTAGTCATTCCTGCCTTAATATTTTCCAAACAGGTGTGTGTCCAGTCCAAGGATCAGACAGCCCCATCTCCCCCCCCCCCTCCCCACCACCACCACCACCACCCCCACCAAAAAATTAAGAATGAAACTGCAATTGAGAAGTTTTTGTGCCTATGGCTGTAAGGTAACTTTTAAAGTCACACTTGAGTTATGTATCAGCTGATTAATTTCGCGTGACTAAATATTTCACTGCATTGACATTAACTGATAAATTCCCGTGGCAATGTAGACTATAACTGCGCACAGTCTTTAATGCTTATGCGGCCAAGTTATAGTTTTAATCGATTGCCACGCCCTCTGCTGGGATATCAATGTTTACATGAAAGAATTGAACAACGTCATAACCAGTAACCGCGTCCATGGGTCGATACCGTAGTAATCTACATAAAATGCAACCTTTTTTAAGTGTGCTACTGGATCGATGACAAGTGTGCGTTCGCCATTTTAATGTCACTGTCACAGTAGAAAGGACTCTTATTCACAAAGTTTCCTGTAGGTGTGAACAGCTTTTTCGACGGACGAGGAGCAGGTGACTGTCACAAAGTGAGTTAGTGTGTGTGTACGTGTGTGGGTGGTTGGATGGGTGGGTGGGTCGTGGTGGGTTTACAAATCAGGAAGAAATTACCTATAGCGGACCTTTCTAGAGAACGTTGACCATAGGTTTCCCATGGTTAACGGCCCCACACTTAATCCTGGACATCATGATGTGACTCACTTTATTTAAGCGTTAATATTTTCTTTCGTCAGACGACGAATTGACATCTGCTATTATATTATTCACAGGTTCTTATTCCAAATAGTTGTACCAAGTGAACAAAGTGGATTTATTGGGAGGCTTAAAGAAATAGACCACTGAACGGACACACTTCCTGCACTGAAACACCTAGCGGAATGGGAAATGTGTAAGTGATTTATTTTACCTTTATGGCAATTCAAAAGCAGTCTGTACATGGATTTATGCGGACGTTTATGAAATGAATATTTTTGCTTAGATATGATGAGTATATTTTAAAAGTATCATCCCCATATAAAATAAGTAAATATAGATGAAAACTCACAATGATTCAATGTAGTGATCGCATCACCTTTTTCTTAGGCAGAAGTCCTGTGCTTCTGCAAAAGTTATAAGTTTATGAGAAATATGTGTTATACAGCACCCGATATAAATCGTATTTATTTTTGTGTACCCTAGGGTTGGGATTGTCGCAGGCTTGTTTGCTACTGCTGTTGTCATAGTGTTCGTGGTCATCATTGTCAGATCCGTGGTGAGGTGTATGAAATCTGGACCCGAACGTGGAGGAACAACTGGTAGGTTTCGGTTTAACGATAAATTCTGGTTTAAACTGAAAAAGTGGGAAGAGTAGAGTTGATACGATAATAAAGTCACGATGAAAGAAGCCTACGTTATATTAATCTATAATTACGTGAACTTAATGGATCTGTGTACGGAACTTACCTGTACGTCCAGGGCGTTCCTTCAACAAACAGGTACTGAACAAATAACAGGGTAGGAAATTCAGTGATACTACCATATTTGGGTTTCATCTGCTTCACATATATTCGTGGAATAATCACACGGTATCAAATAACATAATGAGACAATTGTCAACTCAGTCAATCAATTCAGTCAATAGTCAAAGCAACATATTGGCCTCCGCCACAGTAATTAATTGTTTAAAATCAAATAGTATACAATATCGTATTCTACTGGGAGAATGCTAAATATTTTCATATACCGTTCTATGTTACAGTTCATGTTATCCAGCCTGCTACTCCCGCGCCTCTACCAGTAGCTACAATTATAACACAGACCAGCACGACCACCAACACTGCGTGTATTCAACCTCCAATGCATACCGCACCAGGGGGGTACGTAGGACCGGGAATGGCACCCCCTGGAATGACACAGAGACCCCCACCGGGGCATCCACCATCGGCGTGGTCCTCAGGACCGGGCTTCCGAGGACCTCAGCCGGGGTCGTTTTATGGCGGACCGCCACATCACCAGCCTCCTCCTCCTCCTCCTCCGTATACTGCAGGACACCAGGGACACCCGTATCCGCCCCCCACAGTGCCCCCCTTTCAAAGCGGCGCCTTTTCAGGTTATCCTCCTCCGTGCTCGCAGATGTACTAGGCGCCAGGACTACCTGATGCAATCACCGCTGATGCAATCTTCCCAAGCACAATAACATTCATCGGTTTTTTATCAAAACGAGAAAGTTTATATAAAAGAACTCATTCACATCGAGTGGTTAACTTTACCCCTACATTCTGCAGTCTAGGCAGTGGCCATATTTGAAGAATTTGTATTTAAACTGTTTACGACTGAATATTGAATTTTCGAAAGTTGACCAAGTAAGAAACTATTACAATTGTTCTTAGTAGGTAATAATTGGTTTGTCTGTATGTTAATAACGTTAAAAAAAAAAAGAAAAAGAAAGGGAAAAATAAAAAAGAAGAAAACATGGACAGATTTAGCTTACATTTTTCAGAAAGTCTCAGGAGTAATTACAACTATGAACATGATTATATCCAAGTATTCTTTCTTTTTTGAGTTATATAAAGGCTGGGTCACACTGCGCTTGCAACCTTTTGGCAACCTCTTTGCAACCACAAAATCTGGTGGTCGCTTGCGATCACTTTGCGACCTAATTTGCATATTTTGATCGGCAAGCAGTTGCTAACCGGTTGCAACAAGGTTACAGTATGGTATCTGCAACCTCTTACAGACAATCTTCAAGTCAGAGGTTACCAGTCGCACACCGTTAGANATATTTCATATCAACGCCATGGATATCCATGTCAAGTCTACATGTATGTTCACATGTGTGGTGATGGTGGTAATCATACAGTCGGGTAAAAAAATGAACCACTAAAAATTAATATATTGTTTCAATATATATAAAACACTGCGGGCACGTGTTAATATATTATTATTATTATTATTATTATTATTATTATTATTATTATTATTATTATTATTTCCTACACAAAACTGTTGAGAACAACGGCAACCAGTCTTCTTCTATGCTTCATTGATCCCCACTGAGTGCAGCATAATCTCGAAAAGTGGATGATTGATAACATGTACAAAAATGCCAGTTCAGAGCAGCCTCAGTCATTCCTGCCTTAATATTTTCCAAACAGGTGTGTGCCCAGTCCAAGGATCAGACAGCCCCCCCCCCTCCCCACCACCACCACTCCCACCAAAAAATTAAGAATGAAACTGCAATTGAGAAGTTTTTGTGCCTATGGCTGTAAGGTAACTTTTAAAGTCACACTTGAGTTATATATTAGCTGATTAATTTCGCGTGACTAAATATTTCACTGCATTGACATTAACTGACAAATTCCCGTGGCAATGTACACTATAACTGCGCACAGTCTTTATGCTTATACGGCCAAGTTATAGTTTTAATCGATTGTCACGCCCTCTGCTGGGATATCAATGTTTACATGAAAGAATTGAACAACGTAACAAATAGTAACCGCGTCCATGGGTCGATACCGTAGTAATCTACATAAAATGCAACCTTTTTTAAGTGTGCTACTGGATCGATGGCTAGTGTGCGTTCGCCATTTTAATGTCACTGTCACAGTAGAAAGGACCTTTATTCATAAAGTTTCCTGTAGGTGTGAACAGCTTTTTCGACGGACGAGGAGCAGGTGACTGTCACAAAGTGAGTTAGTGTGTGGGTGGCTGGATGGGTGGGTGGGTCGTGGTGGGTTTACAAATCAGGAAGAAATCACCTATAGCGGACCTTTCTAGAGAACGTTGACCATAGGTTTCCCAAGGTTAACGGCCCCACACTTAATCCTGGACATCATGATGTGACGCACTTTATTTAAGCATTAATATTTTCTTTCGTCAGACGACGAATTGACATCTGCAATTATATTTTTCACAGGTTCTTATTCCAAATAGTTGTAGAGTGAACAAAGTGGATTTATTGGGAGGCTTAAAGAAATAGACCACTTAACGGACACACTTCCTGCACTGAAACACCTAGCGGAATGGGAAATGTGTAAGTGATTTATTTTACCTTTATGGCAATTCAAAAGCAGTCTGCACATGGATTTATGCGGACGTTTATGAAATAAATATTTTTGCTTAGATATGATGAGTATATTTTAAAAGTATCATCCCCATATGAAATAAGTAAATATAGATGAAAACTCACAATGATTCAATGTAGTGATCGCATCACCTTTTTCTTAGGCAGAAGTCCTGTGCTTCTGCAAAAGTTATAAGTTTATGAGAAATATGTGTTATACAGCACCCGATATAAATCGTATTTATTTTTGTGTACCCTAGGGTTGGGATTGTCGCAGGCTTGTTTGCTACTGCGGTTGTCATAGTGTTCGTGGTCATCATTGTCAGATCCGTGGTGAGGTGTATGAAATCTGGACCAGAACGTGGAGGAACAACTGGTAGGTTTCGGTTTAACGATAAATTCTGGTTTAAACTGAAAAAGTGGGAAGTGTAGAGTTGATACGATAATAAAGTCACGATGAAAGAAGCCCACGTTATATTAATCTATAATTACGTGAACTTAATGGATCTGTGTACGGAACTTACCTGTACGTCCAGGGGGTTCCTTCAACAAACATGTTTAACAACTATAACACAGTAGGATATTCAGTTATACTACGTACCATATTTGGTTTTCATCTGCTTCACATATATTCGTGGAATAATCACACGGTATCAAATAACATAATGAGACAATTGTCAACTCAGTCAATCAATTCAGTCAATAGTCAAAGCAACATATTGGCCTCCGCCACAGTCATTAATTGTTTAAAATCAAATAGTATACAATATCGTATTCTACTGGGAGAATGCTAAATATTTTCAAATACCGTTCTATGTTACAGTTCATGTTATCCGGCCTGCTACTCCCGCGCCTGTACCAGTAGCTACAATTATAACACAGACCAGCACGACCACCAGCACTGCGTGTATTCAACCTCCAATGCATGCCGCACCAGGGGGGTACGTAGGACCGGGGATTGCACCCCCTGGAATGATACAGAGACCCCCACCGGGGCATCCACCATCGGCGTGGTCCTCAGGACCGGGCTTCCGAGGACCTCAGCCGGGGTCGTTTTATGGCGGACCGCCACATCACCAGCCTCCTCCTCCTCCTCCTCCTCCGTATACCGCAGGACACCAGAGACACCCGTATTCGCCCCCCACAGTGCCCCCCTTTCAAAGCGGCGCCTTTTCAGGTTACCCTCCTCCGTGCTCGCAGATGTACTAGGCGCCAGGACAACCTGATGCAATCACCGCTGGTGCAATCTTCCCAAGAACAATATAATTTAACATTCATCAGTTTTTTTTTTTATCAAAACGAAAAAAATTATATAAAATAACTCATCTCATCTCATACAGCCTTCTCTAAGGCCCTTTCACATCGAGTGGTTTACTTTACCCCTACGTTCTGCAGTCTAGGTCAGTGGCCAGATTTGAAAAATTTGCATTTAAACTGTTTACGACTGAATATTGAATTTTCGAAAGCTGTCGGAAGTGGACCAACTAAGAAACTATTACAATTGTTCGTAATTAGGTAATACATGTAATATGTCTGTCTGTCTGTTAATAGCATTAAACACAAGGAAAAAGAAAAAAAAAGAAAGAAAACAGAAACTGTCAGGAGGAGACCAAGTGACAAAAGATAAGTTTTTGGAGAAGACCCAATGATTCTAACGTTATGTTTTTGTAAAAAAAAATGCTTACTTTATTTACAGCTCTGTGTGTGTGAACATGATTATATCCAATTATTCTTTCTTTTTTATATTAAATAAAATCATGCATTTAAAGAATCAATTTTACGTGGAATTCCGATATCGTCTTTCACAGAAATTTACAAACATTTTATAAAAATCTGTTGTTGTTTTTTTTTTCAATCTTAGACCCTGACAAGAATTGGTCGTTGCCCCCTCTCGTCAACATATGATAATAATAATAATATAGGTAATAATTGTAATCCATTTCCTGAAAATTCGCACTACACATGTGCCTCAGTGCTGTTAAACTATTAAACTATCTAAATTAAAAAATGATATCATAATAAAACACTATAGTTTTAGCATCAGAACAATTAACAACAAATAAAAAATAACTCATAAACCAAATGATTTCTGATTTGAAAAAAAATCAATTCCCAGTCCAGAGAGCAGGAACTTGTTTTATTATTATGGCAATTCAAAATAAGTGGTGGTGCTTTGATTTTTGCTTAAGTTTTATGAAATTAATTATTTGCCTTAGATATAATAATTATTTTATTTTTGAAAGTAACATCCCCATATAAAAATAAGTGAGTCTAATAATAACTCAACATGATTCAGTGTAGTGAACGCATAACTTCGTTTTCTTAATAAAATTGTTGTTTGCCTATCGCACAGGTAATCTAGCCGTGGCGCTTTGCTTTTGTAAAGTTAATGATAGATATAACTTTTAAGACCATCCAATGTAAATTGTACATATTTTGTATACCGTAGGGTTAGGTGTGTCGCGCGCACGTTTGCTGCCTCGGTTTTCATCGTCAGATCCATGGTGAGGCGGCTGAAATCAGGATCCCAACATGAAGGAACTGGTAGGTTTCTGCTCAACGATAAATTCTGGTTAATGCTGAAAAAAGTGGGTAGAACAGTTGATATAATAATAAAATCACCACGAAAGAAGCTTACGTTATATTTATCTATAATAGCGTGAAATTAGTTACCTGTGTGGCTTACGTTCAGTTCCTTCAACAAACAGGCACTGAACAACTAACACAGTAGGATATTCAGTGATACTACCATATTTGGTTTTCATTTGCTTCACATGTATTCGTGGAATAATCGCACGGTATCAAAAAAGATAATACAACAATTATTACCTACGGTCAATACTAAAAGCAACATAATGGCATCAGCCAAAGTCATTAATTGTTTAAAATCAATTAGTATACAAGATCGCATTCTACTGAGGTATGCCAAATATATTTTTCACGCATACCGTTCTTTCTTACAGTTCATGTTATCCAGACTACTATTCCCCTGTCTGTGGTTACAGTTGTACCTCAGACTAACACGACCATCAACCCAGGGATGACACCCTGTGGAATGATACAAAGACCCCCACCGTGGCATCCAGCATCGGCGTGGTTCTCAGGACCGGGCTTCCCAGGGCCTCAGCCGGGGTCTTCTTTTAGTGGACCGTCTCCTCCTTCTCCTCCTCCTCCGTACTCACAGGACAACCTGATGCAATCACCGCTGATGCAATCTTCTCAAGAACAATAACATTTATCAGGATTTTATCAAAACGATAAAAAATAATAAATAAATAAATAAATAATTCAATAATCTCATACAGCCTTCTTAAAACCTTTTCACATCGTAAAGTGTACTTGACCTCTACATTCAGTACCAAAACACTTTGATTGGTCCTCACATGTGATCAGGTTATAGTAAGGGGAATAATTTTATTCCATTCCAATAATTCTTCCCAAATGTTAATTAATTGATCTTCTCGAGCGCGGAGGTATTTGTTTATATTAACCATTTACGCAATAGCAAGCCAAAAAGCAAAAAAGTATTCAAACATAGTGTAATGGTATAAAATGTAGGCCTATTGCTAAAGTATAGGCCTACATCATGATGTGAAATGGGCCTAAGGTAGCGTCTTAATTGAATTCATTATATATGTAGACACATTGGTTATTTTACCAATCTCAACTTGAAAATGGATATATTTGTTGATTTTTTATGCCTGCAATTCAGAAACAAAACATTTGCAGAGTTCTATGGTTTAATGACAATGTGATATCGTCGGCTCATAGTTGATAATACGCACACTTGAATCAAAGATTCAAATAATGAAATTCAGGAAGTTCATCATATACTGATCCTGCCATAAGGATATGACTAATATATGGTACATGTAGCTAGGCCCTAGGTCTATAACCGAATTCACAATATCAGGATAATTTTGTTTTAGGGCCTATGTTATTCTTCACATTAAAAGTTGATTAAAAATATATATAGGCCTATATCAAATGGCATTATATGAAGTGACATGCAATCAATTTACATGTTATGAAATGCTTTTTGCTTTTTCAGGTATATTAATTGGTACACTGTTGGTTATGACTGAAAGTGCCACATGCCGGCTTCCACGGAGTCGTCATTTAAAAAACATTTAGGTTCAGTGCATGAATCCAATTAAAAACTACAGATTTTCCTCTTTAAATGATCACTTTTATTATATAAAAAGTTTAGTAAAATACGTAACACTGCAAAGATAGATATGAATTTTTTTCGTGTGCTCTCTAGGCAAACAAAGATCTTCGAAATTGTGTAGAGATCTATGTTTTCCACGGGGAAATCCTAGATTGACTGAAATTTCGTCAAAGGCGGCCCCTTCTATTTTATCACGTGATCTATTACGTTTGACGTCATACACGTGGAATCGTGCGCTATACGCAGTGACGCCAACCGGAATCGCCATCTTGTCCGAATCGGGGGGGCCAAATCGTCATATCTTTTCGTTTTGAAAAACAATTGAGCAGCTATGCAGTTAATGTTCAAAATAAAGCGAAAGGTATAAGACCAGGCATATGACGATCCTTAAGAATGTGGGTTTAGTCTCTCTTTGGGTCTTTATCAGGCTGGCGACCCCGGCAGGTAGGTTGATTTCCCGTTAGTGACTTCCAAAGTGAACTGCTTAGATATCTGTTTCAATTTTGTGAGTCATCGAACGGGTAAAATTAAAAGTTTTCACCTTTTTTCATGGCCGGAAGAGTCAGGACAATATTGCTGCGCCCATTATAATACTTCTGGCAAATACGTCAGTACATTCTACTGCCCAGACTACTGCTGTGGGTCCTCCACGTCTAAATACTGCTGTACGGACAGCTATGACAGATATATATACAGTTATTCGGCCAGTTACCAATGTAGCACCCCTACAAGAGGTAGGTATGATATTGCTAGTACACGTTGAGTAAATTGCTGTGTAGGCTAATGCTTTGTGTCACCTTTGTAAGGGTTGCTGAAACGTTGCACGCACAGACACAGACACACATACACAAAAAAATAATAATTAAAAAATATAAATAGGGGGGGGAGAATTTGCATTTAAACCGTTTACGACTGAATATTTAAATGCTGAAAAATATTAATCCTGTGTGTGTGTGTGTGTGTGTGTGTGTGTGTGTGGAAGGGGGGGGGGGACGACCCACACACACACCCACCCACTATCAAAACTGATAATATGGTACAACAGCTTTTTTTTTCTAACAGCAGAGGCTCATTTTCAGATCCGAATCCTGTCTGTGAAATACACACACTGGACAAAAGAAGTGTCACCCCTACTGAGCCAATACTATGGGGGAGATAAATGACTGTGGAATGATATGCTCCTAGTATCATTTTATTAACATCAAATTTCACAAAAAAATCACAAAATGAGAACAAAATATACATTCTACCAAAATATGCAGTTTCAAGTCCAAAATTAGTACTTAGTGGCATAGCCACATGACCTAATAATAGGTGCCAGTCTACGAAGCAAGGATTCATATAATTGTCTGATGCGTTCAGGGCTTATGCTGGCCCAAGCATGAAACACTGAATATAACAAAGTTTCTCTGCTGGTTAGACGGGCATTTGTAAAAAGTTTTGACATATAAATCCACACATTTTCTATTATGTTTGCATCCGGACTCTGGGCAGGCCACATCACCCTGCGAATGTCCTGTTGGTCAAACCAATCATCAACTGCTCTGGGCCTGTGACAAGGAGCATTGTCATCCTGGTGAACAGATGGATAATTCCTGTCACCAAACATGTTAGCAATAGATGGTAGCAAGCCTGACTCTAAAACATCGATATATTTCTAGCGATTCATGTTTCCATTAACCACTATCAATTCGCCCAAGCCATGGATGCTGATGCAGCCCCACTCCATGATGAATATGCTGCTCCGGGTTCGAAAATTCAGTGCATGTGGTGCAAATGCTTTACCAGCAGTTTGCCAGCATAGTACCTCTGTCATCTGAGGTCAGACCAAAGCGACACTCATCAGAAAAACTATATAGGACCAATTGTCATGGACTGTCCAGTTCCAGATCCTGTTGACCCTAGTTTACTCTACGTTGCCTGTTTTGTAACGATATAAGAGGTTTCAGTCTTGCTACCCCGCTGTACACTCTCTGAGCATGTAACCGACGCCTAGCAATTTTCACAGGCACATTCTTATGTGTGAAATTGTTCCACTGTGTTGTCAACTGACAAGCAGTGTCGAACTTTGACAACCTGGACATCAATATCAGTCGTCGGTCCTTACGGCCAGTATTTTTTCTTGGACGACCCATCAGAGGCAATTTGTCACTTGATCCAGTGTTTCTATGCCGAGACCAGACCCCCTGCACGGTTCTGACTGAACAATTCAATTGTATCGATATTCTGACATTGCTTATATTCCGCCTCTTCAGGTTAATAACTTGCACCTATAACCGTTAGATAATTGCCTGTATCTTGCCATATTGGAGTAAGACAGGAATAAAATTTGCTGTACATGTACAAGACCAACAATACAATTCCATGGTATAGCGGTTTTATAGTCACATTATAAGTAGACCAGGCATTATAAGTACCCAAGATCTGCCTACTTTTATTACTCTGAGTTAGGGGGTGACACTTCTTTTGTCCAGTGTGTGTATCTTTGTGGGCATCAAATACGCACACATACAAATAAAATGAACATCGATGTGTATATCCTTTGATAATAAGTTGACCATCCATATATATATCTTATTGATTCATGTAATTAGAAAACCTTTGAAATTGAATAGTTCGAGTAAATATGGATACTAGTCTACTTTTATTTTTTCATGCGTAGGGCCTAACTATCAAGTCTTTACGAGAGTCGCAGATGTCACACTAATCATATATGTTCTATTTTAGGAGAGTTTTGCTGTGCATATTACACATCATCAGGCAAATACAAGAGTGCTTTCTACTGTGAAAAGTACTGCTGCGGATCTTCTACTTCTAAGTATTGCTGCCTTACCAGCAGATACAGATACTTGTACAGTTATTCCTATAACAGTTCTTGTCCAGCACCCATTAAAGGTAAGTGAAAATCATCAGTAGCTATTTTTTACTTCTTTTACCTTTGTATACGGAGTGCTTTCGGGGCGCTCAGCACCGCTTGCATGAAGCAGTTTTAGGTCCCTGCATGTCAATGAAAAGAAAAGCTAGAGTTGTGATTGCAAAACATGTCTCATTTCATTGGAGGAGAAAAAAAAGCATTCTGAAGGCCACAGCGTTCGTAAACTCGTGTAAAATGTCAGAAATGTGTTCAAAATATATCATTTCCTCACTGTCAACATGACTTTTTGTTTAAACAAGCAGTTAATCATCATATACTTTATATTGATCCCATTTGTCCAATAAGCAGATTCATAAACCCCAGATATCAGGCTGTCCGTCCATATATTTGAAAATTTTATATCATAAAAAATATTTTCGCCCTTTTTTAGCCTTGGTTCCCCTACTATTAATTACAGGAGAATATTGCTGCGCATATTACAACTCATATGGCACTTACAGGAGCTCGTTCTTCTGTACCAAGTACTGCTGCGGAACACCTACCAGTAAATACTGCTGCACCTCGTCCTATAGTAGATACTCCCCAAGTTACTCATCCGCTTCATTATGCATTCCTCCAAAGAGTATGGATGAGGAGCATGAGGGAGAATGGGGAGATATGTAAGCTTAATAATAATGATAATAAAAGTATATATATAACTTTGCGTTTTAGTCACTGAAGCCGAAGCTGGGAGAACCGATCTCAAGCCGAAGCCGGGCCGATGTGAAAGGTAGAGGTCGGTTCTCCCAGCTTCGGTTTCAATGACTAAAACGCAAAGTTTATGACTGTCTTGGTAAATTTTCACAAAGTTTGAAAATAATTATAAGTAAGACGCACTGAGAACGTTTTGACGATGTACGTGCCTGTATCTAGCTCTTGCATTATGACCACTGAGATAGGACATGTGCATGTTCAAAATGGCAAAGTGAGTTGACTAGGTCTCTTGTGTCTGCCTTCCGACCACTCAGTAAGTGTTAAAATTAGTTATTACTAAAATACATTATAATGCATTTCTCTTTTTTTTCGATCTATTACAGTAGTATGGTTTTTATTCTTGCACCTTTCATGTTCATTTCGGGGGTGGTCTTCATAGTCATACGCAAAGTGTGCCGTCGAACCCCTCCAGGAGGTCAGTATACAACCAGTAGCATTGTTTTAATAGTGATATTAAAAACGTATAATAAAATTTCATATGACGAACCTTTTATTTTTACAGAGGTTATTTGTATGTGTTAGCTGTGCATAAAAAAAAAAAAAACAAAATAAAATGATCTACGTAGGCAAGTAGCAGTTCAGGAGTAACGGATATTGTTGTAATATGATTCCGCCTAAAAAGATAATATTTGATTCCAAATGTGCTCATATAACCGTCTAAACGATGTTAGGTTGATCTGTGGATTTAAGCTTTTTACTTATTGAAATATGAAGCGTTTCGTGTATAATATCACTGTGTTCTCAATTAAGTCTCTGGCCATGGTTGTTTTCTGTAAAAAGGAAATATTAACCTATTTGTTTCAGTTATCCATGGCCATCAACGTCAACCAACTCACAGTATGCAGACCAGACAAACTATGGTATCTTCAACCCCGACCACGTCATACGGGCCTGGAGTCCATCCCCCGACCTCGGGGGCTCCACCTTCTAACTTCGGGTACAGCCCGGGAGCCCCGCCTCCGACCACAGGATACAGCCCGGGAGCCCCGCCTCCGACCACAGGATACAGCCCGGGAGCCCCGCCTCCGACCACAGGATACAACGTAGCAAATCTGCCCCCTAATCTCGGACACCATCATGGCGTCCCGCCCCCAACATCACCATACAGCCCAACAGCCCCGCCCCCGGACTCAGGATTAGATCCTGGGGTAGCGCCACCACCTTATGAATTGTTTGCGCCACCACCAGGTTCAACCTTTGCATCGCAGAATACAACACACCCAAGGGATCCAAAACCCTCAACTCAAGAAAAGTGCTGACTAATACCACAACAGTCACCTCACTGCTGGACACGTCAAGATTTATTTAAACTAGCTTGCAACGTCATGTGTTCTGGCGGTCGTCAAGATGACGTCAATACCAGCTTCCAACAGCTGTCTTGGTTTCTAGAGATTCGTTTTGTCAGTGTATCTGAATCTGTTAGTACATGTATTATGATATGCGTTTCCCTTTACCTTAAAGCAAGCTCAGTTAGCGCAGAAAAGGTGAAACGGCTGATAGATTGACAAACGTGGTCGACAATCAAGTCTTTGTGAACTACTACCGTTTTTGCCATACAAAAATAACGATTTTGTGATATGTAATACGGATATATGATGCGGAAGATTAAAAGTCATAAACAGTTTCTTTGTAATTCTTACGTTATTGGTTTGGTATCGTTTTCTCAGTGTCATCTCTCTCTCTCTCTCTCTCTCTCTCTCTCTCTCTCTCCAAAGAACTGTTTAACATTTTACCCTTCCCCTTCAATTTTACGAAAAAACAAGGTACTCAGTATATTTCAAACCCAGGGTTATTTCAGAGTCACCTCCCATGTAACGAATAGGCCAAGAAAACATTCTGAAACATGTTATCTTTGTAAATGTCCAGTGGACAAAAACTTATGTTGGTTTGCAAGGCGATTCCTCAAACAAAAAAAAACTCTTCTGTGCAAATCCCGCTTTGCAAGCAATGAGTACCCTATTAGACTGGGTTCCCATGCCTACATCTATCCTTCTGAATCATACTAATTTCTAAACCGTACCAAATGGCACCGATGCTCTGTTAAATACCAAAAATTGTTGAGCCCCTTCAGCGGGCCCCATACCCCACGCCAAGTGTAGGGGGGGGGGGGGGCGCAGGGTCGGCTTCGCATCCGCGGACCCCCTTCCAATAATCCTGGATCCGCTTCTGCTAATCTAGAAATGGTTTTTCAGCTGCTAAGTAGTTTGTATCCAGACACACATGTTAAATACGCATGGTCAGTTGTAAGAAATTACATACTTGTTCTTTTTAAAGAAATTGTTCAATCTTTAACAGATATGCCACATAAATGGAGAGAACTGAACGATTCCGAAATTCTAGTTAGCTGTTTATTATGAAATCGTCGAATTTGACTGTACAATTAAAATCGCAAAATATTTCTCCACCAAACTTACCACCAACGATGCTGCTTTCCCTCAATTTTGGCGAATAAAACGACATAAAACTTTTTTACATTGACACCATTGTTATGCATCATAAGTTGATTTAAAAGGAAACAGTAGAAAATTGAGCAAGAAAAAGAGCTATTCATTTCTCAAATTTTAAAAGCCCTTAATAACAGGATCATGACGTCATGGTAATGGTTATAACAGGGTAAAGTAGCAGGGCCGGTTTCACAAAGCAGTAGTTAGTTAGCGATCGGTAGTTAGCCTCTCGCTAGTTATAGTGCCGTTTCACGAAGCAGTCGCTAGTTCTCTCGCTCGTTATTGTCTCGTTGTTGCCTTGGATATTTAACGACTGGTCGCTAACTCTAGAGTTTCATCGTACGCATGCGTAATGAGTGAAATAAAAAGGTTGCTTAGTTACCGTTGTCTGTCGTTTGTCTTTGTATCCAATATGACGGCTACCTTTCTTGCTAACCGTACCGCCAGACGGCAACGTAGACTACGACGTTTTCATGAAAGGCAGAATCTATTAGAATATACACACGATGATGCAATTTACGAGAGGTTGCGCCTAGCTGTGACAAAAAGAGCGGCAAAAAGGTGGTGGAGATCCTTTACGACGACCTCAAAGCAGACGTTCTTATGCATTTCCAGCCACCAAAAATTGGAGAGTTAGTGCTTTCGTGACACTTTTACGCAAGAGCTCCACTTCCGGCAGACGGTTTCGAGACTACGGTGAGTAACGAGAGAACTAGCGACCGAACTTTACGACTGAACTTAGCGATAAGTTAACTACTGCTTCGTGAAACACCCCTCGAAAATCGGTAAGTTTGCTCGTTAGCGAGGTAGTTCAGTAGTTAGTTGTTCTAACTAACTACTGCTTTGTGAAACCAGCCCCAGTAGCTGAACTCTATATACATCCTCTCTATGACGTAGCCAATAGCAACGCCTGGTACACGCAGGTCCAGAGCGTTTTGTTTGTAGGTTAATAAGTCTCCCTCTTAGCAAGCACACAGCAGTGTCCGCCACCCATATATTAACAACAGCGCCATTTCGTCCAGCGGCAAGCAAGTAAAAAATGGACCATACTTTTACAGTTTTAGTGTGCTTATTGTCGGTCTTTATCCAGGTTTCTCTTCCATGTAGCCCGCCGATGGAACCGTACGAAGAACCGACCTTGGCGACGCTTGTCCACGAGAATTACGTAGAATGGGTGCTGTACGGGCGCGTTGTGAAACATTACCCCGCAGAACAATGGGCGGAGAGTGCCTACACGGCGGAGATGGAGGTTTACTGCACGTATAAAGGCGGAGTTTCTCCCAGCATTGTCAATATCTCTGAAGCAGGTAACCCCAAAAAATAGTGATATTTGATTTTAGGGTGTGCATATGTGGGTGTTGTCACAGTTAAATGTAGGTAAAATTTTAAAAACACATATCACAAATTGTACTCAGTCCATTAGTATTATTGAAAATTATTGAAAATGTACCCCACGCTCAAAAGAATTACATTCCATGTAGAACAGAAAACGGGTTTTCCGATTGCCGCCCTCAAGGCAAAACCAATGAAGCAAAACCACCCTGCCTCGCGCACCTAATGTCTGGGAATCGGTTTATTGTTGTGTCTGTTTCGTGAATTATTGACATGCTCTTCGTGGGACGCCCTCGTATTTACACAGTCATTCTTTTGTAGGTTTTTACAGCGCCTGCGGTTTTTTAACTGCAAGCGTGTGTGAGAAGAGCGCTCAGTAAATTTAATTATCTTTTTTAAACAACATTTCCCTGTAGCTCCGAAGTAAGCGGTAAACTTGATAATTGAATGGTGTTTACTATTTAATCTGTTCAGGGGGAGGGGTCAACATAAAAAGATAAATAGTATTGATTTTCACTACATATATGTTGAGGGTTATATATATTTTAGAACGGCACTTTTTGAAATGGGAAGCATTGACGTCTCTCACGTCTTACATCAAGGACGAAACGTGTATGGCAAGCCGCCATAGAATATTTAAGTTCTCATTTCCTTCAGTGAGTTTATGCCATGGTTCATTTGGCACACATAACATACATAGCATTTTTTCACAGTCGAATTTTTGGGTTATTTGAAGGACAGGCCCACCTCATGGATTTAAATACCTTTCTGCACACGGAAATTTAACATCTGTGTTTGTTGTGCGAAATCAAAACAGTTTAGCAAACCAATCATAACATCCCGCCTTTCACTTACTGTTGCTACTCGCAATATGTTCACTCCTCGTATGTTTACATTGCACGAGTAGACGTCATGGAATACCCTGAAGATCAACATGATTTTCCTCGAAGTACGCACTTCAATCTCTTAAGTTCCGACTGTCTGTATTGTCTTTTTGTTTGAATTTGTATACAAACTTGTCAATTTCAAGACTGCAAAAGCACTCAAACTGGCACCATCTCTTATTCAATTTTGGTGTCACATTACTACTTTTTTGTTTATTTATACACAGCATTTAAAGGTCTTTGAACTACTAGTAAGTAATGTTTCAGATTTCTTGCCCAGTCGTCGATGTCTCGCAATTTGTGTAGTAATTATTCTAAGTAGTGAATGGTCGTATTGTATCTCTCAGTTTTGCTTAAAGGCAATCGAGAAGAAAATTACTTATTAAACCTTGTCTTTTTCATCTTCTACGGAGTTTTTTTATTATAATTATTCTGCAAATCTTTGATGGTCTCCCTGCTGCGTCGTTCGATCAAACGATACAACAGTCCATTTCATATCGTTTATTTCAGGACTAGGTGAAAATATGAAGCAGAACGAGTACCGTTATGGACCCACACCACGTAGTTAAATTTAGGATCTAGTATACGTTTACAAGTCCTATATAGAATATGGTGAATACAGAACGATGATAAAACGCGTCTATCCGGCCTAGAGGTGTAGTCAGCCAAAAAGGGCCGATTCACATCTTGTGTTCATCAATGAAAGACTGCAAATCAAATTAACTGGTGGTATCTGTCTGAGATCGTGCCTTCTCCGGAAGCCGCCGAGTGAAAATTAGGGAGATAACAGCTGTGCGAGGTGGAATCTCACTAAAAGACATGGAGTTATCACTATCAAATTACTGGCCAATAAAGGCGTTAGACTGGTGGCTTTATTCGATAATATAACCAATATGAAATTATGTTTCATAGAAATGCACCTCAGATATGTTCCAGTAGAGTATACTCGGTAGCTGAATCCGGGGCATAAACATATGGATGACTGCCCTCGCTGTGGCATGTACTAAAGATGACCATCTCACGGCAGGGGAACAATATGGCTTCGACTACTACATATTACTTTACAAAGAGAGCCAACAGGGCCGCCGACTCTACAGAAACCGGTACATTGGTCCTCTTCGCTTTTTGTCGATTCCAACTGTTTTTGGATTTTATTCTTATCTGATAAAACATATTTTATAGTATATTGGCCTTTCCTTACAAATAAAACAGTGGAAATTCTGTGTTAAGGACGCACTCAAAGCGGTTTTTACTTACTGCGTTTTAATTTTCCCCGATTTTACCTCTGTTCATTAAGCTGATCTAACTATGATACTGCAGTTTGGAAGCAAGCGGTTTCTTCCTGTATTTAGAACTGGAATCATTTTGTTAATTAATTAGTATTGTCAAAAAGATATTGTTTTTCACGTGGAACATTCAATTTGATGACATTATGTTCCTCTTCGTGTAATCTCTGCGTGTACTAGGAAATAGTGGAAACAAAGCAGTTCTAACGGCATTAAATTACAAAGAAGGGTGTTGTGTTTACTGCAACTTACTTCAGTCAATATCAAATTTAAAAATGTCGTTGATAACCGTCACATACAGTATGTAATACATCCAGTTGTATCTCATTTCTTTCAAAATAATGATTTAAGACATTGACCTGAAAACCCCATTGAAGGAACGGTGCCATCGATTAACTCCTTACAAAGAACGCAATTTTTAAAAAGCATAAAATCCCTCTTGCGCACACGGGGCTGAGAGGCACATATGGTACATAAAAAGGGCTTAATCTGCATTAGAGAAACAAGGGCGGTGCATACAGTTGACTGCGCATCGTCCTCTTTACACGACTCGGTGGAAATCGCTGGAGCAAATTGGACTTCGGCTTTAATCTATATACAGGCATGTGCGCATACGCGTCAACGTTTGTAACGCATCATGCGTACAGCCCACAGTACACGAACACACACACGCACACATACACACACACAGAGCAATGCTGAGCATCCACTGACTTGGGTCCGTATACAAACTACGGTGAGAATGTCAAAAACCCACCACATTTTTAAAAAGTTTAATATACCATAGGAAAAAAAGGCGTCCTACATACGTAGACCCTGTATGATGAGAACCTGAGTTGAATGTGTTCCACTCACAAGGCACGTCGATTCAAGACTAAGTTTCAGAGCAATGTGGTCCGTCCATTGTTTTCTTGTAAGCCGCTGTATTTTTCGAACGAACAGTCTCTGACTTCTAGTTTCAGTTGACCAGACTGCAGTTTCAGTTTACAAGTTCACCGTGGTCAGAGTAATGCGTTGATCAGCCAGACGTTAAATACATTTCAGAAGTTTTTATCAGAGCGGCTTACTTTGGGGTATTTTTTTTTTTTTCAATTTACAAAACACAATGCACGTACACTTGAAAGTTCACACTTGAATGGCAAAACACACTCGAAATGACTACTCTAGGCTTAATTTCTTCAGCCACTGAATACCAACAAGACCTGTACAGGTATATGGCAAAAACGTTTGGAGATTTTACTGAACTGTTTTTAAGTGATTAAGGGTTATACAGCAACTTTTCATAATTTGTCATATATGTACGTATAATTGAATTATTGCTTTGTTTGCACATACACTATTCAGCTATAATGGTGACTGTTAATGTGAATAGGAGCGATAAAAACATGCTCCACTGTCGCATAACCTTCACCCCATCAGAACCCATGAATTCAAAAGCCAATTTTAACTCCTGTATCAAACGCCTCTTTTTCAGGTTTCATTCCCGGGCTTTGCGATGCTCACAACTTGGAGATAGGAAAAAGTTATTATGTCTTGGCCTACTCCGGCCTCAGGCCGACCAGGGTGCAGGAGGTCACGCTGGACAACTCGGCCATGAACGAACTGACCTCAGTGTGTAACCTACAGATGACGTATCCGCTAGGTGAGTGTGTTAGGTGTGACTGCAAATTGCGCAAGTTTTGATTATGAGTGTGTTAGGTGCGACATTATGCTGGGCATGAATATGACAATGACATCTATTAAATAAACAATGAACCGTTACGACAGCAATCTGTCCGATGTAACAAAATTGAAAAACAGGGTCCACTCTGGCATGGGATTTTGTTTAGTAGCCATGCCGTACATCGGAAAATTATACTATGCATGAATGACGCTAAACTTTTCTATAACTTCTTGAAACTGTAGCAATACGATTCATCAAGTTTTTAAATATTAAACGTCTAATTTGTGGTTTCTTTGTGTAACTTTTGTTCTCATCAAATTACTGATTAGAGAACTGAATCAATTTTTTTCTCATATAATCAGGTGTCGATGCCGCCTCCCCACCTGTCAAATGCACAGCCCCTGCTGACCAATCAAGTTGCGTTCAACCATCTCCAGATCGAGGCTGGGGCGAGGAGAGCTCCGAAGCACCACCCGAGGACTCCACTACAGAAGATTCAGCAATGCCGAATTTACAAGAAGGCACTACATTAGGTTCAAATGCTGTGGATGGTGGATCAGGAAGCGCTTCCACTTGGCATTTTGATTCAATAAACATATGCTTGTCGGTCCTTTTTGTGTTACTATGGAACTAAAGGGACTTCTGTTTCCATCCGATCCTCCAAGCTCGTCTCAAAAATAGGCCCGCAGCGACTTTTTTCAACTTACTTCATTTCAAACATATCACCAGAGAGCAGAGAGGTTTTACATGTTAACAATAAAAACTTTGATATAACTGTGAGAAAACGAATATTAAAAAGCCGTCGATAGGACTACATTAATGTAGGCCAACGGATACAAGGTACAGGGTACTTTGTCAGTTGCCCATCATGTTTTTATAATATAGCCAACTGGGAGAAAAATTATAATTTTGTTAACATGTTTATAATTTAAAAACAATTTTTGGCAATTTCATTATATATATTGATCTGTATATCTATAAAAACTATCATCCAATAGTATGTAATATGAGATTAATTTTCAACTGTTGTCATCCTGCTTGAACTCTACTACACATGCATTACATATATCATTATTTATTGTATACGCATTGCCTAAATGAAATAAAACCTTTATATACCAAAGTATAATAAGAAATACTGAAGGCTTTATCCATAATATATATACATATACATCTACCATCGTTCATGCACCTGGCGACTGGTCTTTATCTCACTGTGTGATACCTATTACGTGAAACACACCATCCGCAGTTGGCAAGTATCAGATAACAGGGTGGAATAACCAGGTCTTGGCGCGTTTTATCTGCCCATGGATTCACGAGCCCACCTGGCTATGCTTTCCTGCATGCCATAGGTGTGTTAAGACAAGGATATAAACGCAGACTAAATACTTTACTCGTAGTGGTAACGATCCAGTTCCAATCGTGATGTTAAATATCATACTAACCAATTTTGCAGTTTGGCAGTGGAAATTAGACAGGTTTTTGGTTCTCGTTGCCAATCGACCTGTCAAATTCAGGGTGCATATCAAACGCACTAGTTTGTTGAGAAAGTGATACCGTTCTATAAGAAACACCTGCACACTAACAACTTAAGGGTGTTTTTTTAAATGCTGCGACTGAGTAGAAGGTATAGGCTTTATTATATTATGTGATCTAGTGGAAGACAACGCGCGTTAACATTAACACTCATGCATTTAAACTTTTTTCTTGTGTTTACAATATTACCCCGAGAAATACGTGAAAGTAGGGCGTCTTGTTATATTTTTGTTAAAAAGAGAGGTAGCTTTAACCTTGGACATAATAACGAAAAAATTCTCCATAACCAGCTAACTCTCAATGCTTAAAAATCGCTGAAACCCGTTAACTGTTAAAACACCAACTGGCGTGTATAGCCTACTATATGACGCTGACCCACTAACGCCACCTTTCGAGCTACTCTGAGAACGTTTTACCGGTATTTATCAAAACACTCTCTGCACTGCAGAGAGCGATATCCGCCATGTTACAACTACGATAAATCTTCAGTCATAGTACTACTACATGTATCAGTACAAACGTACTGTGTACAAACAGGTACAGGTGGCGTCTGACGTGTGTCGCCTACGTAGATGTGACGTCATATCACAGTGTCACATCATCCAGCATGGCTCAAATAGCAGTTATAGGGGCGGGGGTTGTTGGCCTCTCCACGGCCGTTTGCGTCCAGGAGAGGATCCCCGGGGCCGTGGTGACCATCATTGCTGAGAAGTTCTCCCCGAACACGACCAGCGACGTGGCGGCGGGGTACTTCGCTCCCAGCACCAAGTATGGTGTCTCTGTGGATAGAATGAGGTTGGTAATAAGAGGGAAAGGGAGGGAGGGGGTTGATGTCCAAGTGAATGTTTTTATTGGAATTACCTTGCTTGTTTTTACCCATTTTTACATAGTATACGCATAAGTCCACCGGTCTATCTCCTTAGCATATTTATTACCTGTGATCAAGACAATATGTATCAGTAAAGGAGATGACCCTTACCTGTTTTTTTTTTTTTTTTTTAGAATCTGAATATTTTAAAAGTATTTAATGGTTGTAACCATGGTCACGGCTCTCATGCCAAGCATGTTACTGAATTTATATTGAGCTTAGTAGGGGACGCCGTAAGAGTTTGAAGATTATTGAGGTCAGCAGGTAATATGCATGACAGTGTGCCTCGCATCTTATAGACTCTTACTTGTGTCAGACATCCGGGTAACCTACGACACAGAAAATAAATTACACTAAATTGCCTGTTTTTTCATAAATGTCATCGAAGGAAAAACCTGTTTTAGTGGTTAGTAAACGTTGGTGGAGATTTCCAATTCGACACACCTGGAGCGTCATTTCCTTGCCTGGTTAATGTTATAGAAATACACGTACATTTGTAGGTCAAAATTGCTTTAAAGGGAATTTTTTTCTTTCTTTCTTACTGTTATTATTATTATTATTTATTTATTTATTTAATTTTTTTTTTTAAGGTGGAGGGGGTGATTGCTAAACTCCCCTCGGGAAGCAACCCAAACGTTCATTTATATGCATGTTGGCGGTTTACATTCTATGTAAACATCAAAAGATGGGACGCCACAAAAGAGTACTGGTACATCAGAGGCTGCTACACTATTATATGGCCTGTAAATGAGTCAGAAAAAATACATTTCTCCTAAATAATTACCGACACTACATAACATTTAGCACGAAACACGCACACACAAAGGAAAAAGTATATACAGTGCATGTAGACGCAGTTAGCACGCATGTTTTTTTTTTTTTTAATTTTAGACTTTCTTAAATCGTATAGGCTATGCACAACAGTCCCCAATATAAATAAATAAATAAATAAATAAATAAATAAATAAATAAATAAATAAAACACGAGAAGGTCCTCTCCTCACACATATTTATTTCATTTTTCCCTTTTATATGCTACGGAATTAGCGGGAGACCACCTTCCAAACATTTCTTCCGCACTCATCTCTCCAAGTACATCAGGAATCAACGAGGTTCCAACTCCCAAAACAGATTCTCTCCCTTTCATAGGGAATCAACCTTATATCATATATCCCAAACAGCTCTTCCGAGCTCATGACACCGTCACAAATGGATTCGCCCAGAAAATCTCCCAAACAACGTACATTAATAAACATTTAGCTGTTCACTGTAGTGCGCTAGCTGGTCGAATGGTCTAACGGCGTGAATTATCCACAATTCTTACGAATAGCGCACCTAACACAATGTATATAGTGTCTCCCTCTAGGAGAAAACAATTCCGTTCGATTTTCAACGTCCAATGTGCTCCCCAGCGGACATGTATGAATAAAACCGAGTCTTCGTAGATTAAGAAGTAAATATATTTATAAAAAGAGAAAAAAGGAAAGTTTGGCGTAGTCAAACGATATTTTATGGCGACAACAATCTCCAGAGCTTATTTACGCACATGCGCATTCTGCACATGCTCAATTCTACCTAGAGGGGTGATGCACTGGGATGGAGGCAAGTTTGTGATGCACTGGGATGGAGAAGACATAAAACCAAATTGAATTCATGATCAGAGACGATTATTTCTAACGGATTATATGCTCATTGAGATTTCTTTCCTTACAGGCAATGGGCGCTGGATTCTTTCAAGCAATATGACCTCATCACACGTTCTGAAGAATCCGCCGATGCTGGTGTTATCCTGTTGTCTGGATATTATTTGTATCATAGCAAAGAAAATGTAACTTGATGATATATTTTTGTATTAGTAAATTATGAAAATATGTCATATCCAAAAATAGTCATAGAAGTCTTTTTTCTCTTTAAACGCCAAAAGAGCGTTTTAATGTAAAAACGCTGGATATATTTGTAGCTAGTTTCAGTGAAATTTCATGAAGCATGCACTTCACATGTAAGTCTCTATTTACTTGTACACTGTACACTCAACTGGAGATCTGAAACAAGAAAGGAGTGAAATGAAGACGCCTGCTCCTCTAGCTAATCCTCAAGATTAAGTGAACACTTCTGTGATTTGTTCAGCAGTCGCAAATTTCTATTCTTAGATCCCAGAATATATGGGCGAAGACGTGCTTTATCAGTGCAGAGATTTAACGGCGAAAGAAATGGGAATGTTTCCAAACTATAAGTAAGTGATGTTCACCATGGTTATCATACTGTTAAATCGGTCGAATTTGACATCGTTGTTGTTGTAAGTATTTTATAACCACTGTATCTGCTTTACAATACAGCTTGGTGTCTCCTTTATTTTGTATACTACTTAATGTCTAAGTTATTTACATCTTTGTTGACTATCCAGTAGAACATGTACATGTCTATTCAAGCAGTATTTTTCAGGAAGATACGATACATTGTATAGACACATATGTTTGAGGATCAACCATTGTCATTCCACTTGTTGCCAAAAAATATATATAAAGACATCAGCAAACGTATTTGTTAGGTGTGAAAAAAAAAACATGGACCATCCCGAGTTTATTAGGAGAACACTAAAAATTGTGTCGGGCCCATTCCTCTGTTGGGTCAAAAAAAATCCTATGAGTATACACCTTGGAGCAGGCCATGGATCGTACCCATAACTTGCAAATTATTAATTAGTAATTGGCATAGCCAGGTTTATCAATATGCTTTTGTAAAGGTTGTCACCTTGAAATTTAAAGAAGCGAATGCATGGAGATTAAAAAAATATCATTTATAGCTGGAGATGTATGTTGATGGTAGAGAGTCGAGTTAATGTTGCCAGTTTTAAGATACAGGACTTCACTGTTTTCACGTATTCTATCAATGTTCCTCTATATGACAGTGTTTATTCAGATTCGGTCGGATGGTGACGATATTTGTGACGGAATGTCGCCGTTACTTGCCTTGGATGATGACGCGGTTTAAGAAGAGTGGAGGTCACGTTGTTCAGCAAAAAGTTGCATCCCTGGAAGAGGTATTCTACAACAGTTCATGTATTGTTTTAAGCACACAGGGCTATTTTAAAATTTATAAATAATGGAATATAAGTTATAGCCTATACAATTTCATCTTAAGGCGTGCACTAGTAGGCCTCCTTTGCGTATACCGATTTACTATTGATAAGAAACAGTAGTCGTTAGGCATGCACCTATGTAAATACTAAATGGCAAATTGATCATATCCATAGACACTCAAACAGTCTTCATGCGATTCTTATTACAGCTCGCAGGCAAGTATGATGTGGTTATGAATTGCTGCGGTCTTGGTGCACGTGATCTGGTCGCACAACATGACGTCACACCATGGAGAGGTCAGGTGGTACGTGTCAAGGCGCCGTGGGTGAAGCACATGATCAGTACTGATGATGGTGTCTATATCGTTCCTTGGTGAGGAGAAAATGTTTGCAGTGTACTCAATATATGGAATTGTATCTGTCCCCTATTTCCCCTTCTTTTAAAATGGTGTTTTTTTCTGGGACAATGGGTGTGTGAAGCAAATCTCAGGATTTATGTCATACCCAATTATGAAAAGGTTGGAGGGGGTGAACTGCCATTTTATACTGAAAAGAATTTAGGTACCCCGCCTCGGTCGACATCATTTCTTTGTGGGTTTGTAAAACAATGCATGTGCAATAATGTATATACATGTTTATCGGTCTCAGCCAAATGTTATAAATGGAATATTTTAACAGCGTCGTCCCCTTTGATTCCTGATAACTCTCGTGTCCTGTCTTGTATACTACAGCGTGGACAGCGTGGTACTTGGTGGCGTGAAGGAGGTTGGTCACACTAACCTTAACGTGGACGAAGAGACCAAAAACAGAATTATCAAACGATGTTTAGAGCTGATGCCTTCTTTAAAGGTATGTGCAAGAAGTTTTTCACATAGGTACATTGGGAAATTTACCATTTCCAATCATACAGGCATTGCAACACACCTAAGACATGAAGTGTATTACCAGCATGGCATTCCTTGTAGTCACTATCGGCAATTTAATTTAAAATGGCATTCAACATCAATGACTTGGCATAACGACATATCTGTTAAAACAAAGTGCCAGTTCATATTTATCTTTTAGCATTTTGCCCTTGGTTGTAATTCTCTCACTCTACGCTATTTCAGAACGCGGAATTTCTATATGACGGGGTTGGTCTGCGCCCCCATCGAGAACCTCTGAGATTAGAGCTGGAGTGTGTTCGTTTCGGTGAAAAGGCACTGAAGGTGAATGAAGAGGGAAACAAGTAAATCTCTTGCTAAAATTTTTAGTTCGGGATTTAATGCTCAATCACGGTTTTTGTTGTTATTCTTTAAATAACAAGACAGATATACATCTACCTATAATTCTCTTGTTGCGTAATACGTGTATATCGCACAATAGGTCACTATATAATGGCATGGGCTTTTTACAATGTTTTAATGGATTTAGTTAATCGCTTTGCAGGTGATTCACAACTACGGCCACGGTCCTATAGGAGTTTCATTGAGCTGGGGAACAGCCGTGGAGGCAGTGAGACTGGCCCAGAATGCACTGCGGTCTCAGCAAACCAGCAAACTATGAGAGGCATCAGCGTCATTAATGTTAATTTTTTTATGAATACTTTTGTTGTATTTAATGGTAACCTATCTGTTATAAAGAATTTACCTTTAAATTTCCAGAGATTATTTTCATTGTCATCTAGAACAATTCACGACAGTAAAGTACAACTGCAGGTACCGGTATATGCATAATAATAAATTCTAAATGGAATAAAATTTGCCTCAATATAAATAATCTAATATTAAACTAAATGCCATTCATTTGCTACTGCTGTTGATGTACATTTGAGAGCAGTATCATATTAGTCACGAAAAATGTCAACCACCGCTCAATTTTTAAGGATAAAATGGTTCTGCCTCGACATGTATGGACTTTCTTGAACTTCGATAAGGAGAAGGTAATTATTTCGGATTACATCTTAATTTCCATTCAGTGTACCAATGTCGTTCAAAGACCATATGGAACAATCCTGACTAAGCCATATAGTACCCGTACATGATTATGTACCAGTAAGCTTGGATCAGATCCAACCTTCTCGGAGCGGCAATGTTGGCCCGAGTTCGGACAAATTCGTGAAAGACCCACCTCCGCTTGCAGTCATTCAGTAAAATGCCCGTTTACAATCGTTTACACGTGTATGACGCTTAGCGAAACATTTGCTCCACGCGAGCATAATAAATTAACACTAACAAGCAATTTCTGTTATGGCTTGTTAATGGCTGAAAAGGTTAAAATTCAAGTTTATTTTTAGATATCCCTTTTAAAGCTATAATTGCACATAATATTGGATAACAAGCCTCTGTTATAGCGGACCCATGTAGGACGAGATTTGTGCTCGGCGTGTTCTCATATGGAGCATTTAACAGAAGCTACACCCGTGTACAGTGGAATCACGCTAGAAGCCCAGCCTACTTGTTTTCCCTTTTTTACCCCAAACCTCGGTGAATCTGGCGTTCTCAAAATACCACAGTGTGTGTCAGTTTAGAAATATGCATTACTCTATTTACCCTACTCTCCCTACTCTACCCCGTATCCGTCTTGGTGTATACAGACAGAAAGCATACACTCGAGAATGTGTGTCACCACCTGATAAGATCGTTATCGGAAAGCACCCAGCAGCAAGTTGGCCCTATGGGGTAGTCGTGACGATCCCGTGAACTAGCTGCACTACTGCCCAGTAGACACTTCACGATGGCTAACATAGCAGTGATCGGAGCTGGAGTTGTCGGACTGTCCACCGCCATTAACATCATAGAGAGCGTCCCAGACGCTAGGGTCACTATCTATGCTGACCGATGGTCACCGGACACCCTCAGTGACGGAGCGGCTGGGTGCTTTGGACCCAAACTTGGGGGTCCTATGTACCCCATGGGTATAGAGTTGGAGCGGTTTAAGTAAGTACATTGATAAAAAGAAATGCATGTAAGAATCTATGATTCAGTTCAAAACAATACCTGCATGTTGCATGTTTTTGCATTTTAGTTAAATTAAAATGTTGAAGCAGATACAATTCAAGATAAAAACCCAAAGTAGTTTTGAAATCTACACTAACCGAAAGTGCCCATAAACCGTCGTTGAATGTGGCATACCGCTATGCTTCTATTTTGACCATGGCATCATGCTAACGCTAGTTTATCACAGTATCTGTAAACATTTAACCTTATATTCATCATGTATATCTAAGCCTACCGTATGATATATGTAAGCTCTCATTATCTTTATATGGAAGAGTAGTAGATACAGTGACTGAAATTAAAATAATGTCTCACTTGCTTGACTGTTTCTGGTCGGAATTGTGTGTGTGGGACCCTTTCCCACCTTTGCTCCATCACTGTAGACTTGGTATAATTTTTCTTTCACTGTAGAACCTGGGCAAGAGACTCGTTCCAGCACTACGACGCCATTGCCCACTCGGCGGAGTCTGCAGAGGCCGGTGTGTTTCCAGTCTCTGGCTACAGGTTATACTGCAGGCCTGGAAACGTGAGTGTAGACCATACAGCTTTTTCTCAATATCGTGAGTCTGTCTAGGTATGGTATGGTATATGGTATGGTATGGAAGCAACACGTCATTTAAGAAAATATTGTTGGTTCGTATCGATTTACCGCAGTAGTTTTTTGATAGCGTATGGCAATATGTAGTGAAGTATGGTCATTCTTGGGCGTGGTGTTATTTTAGGTTGCACCGTACCGTGCTCTGGAACTCATGTCCAACTACAAAGAACTCTCTAAAGAAGAGATGAAGAAGTTTCCACCCAAGTATAAGTATGCATTGTCATCTTTTAAATAATTTGGCACTCGATTGGCTCAAAACTGTTTTCATGAGTTACTATGCCAATTAAGTCAGATATTTCAATACAAAAGCAAAAATTAAAAATTTAGCATTGTAGTGTCGATATCTTGATGATCTCTTTCATTTCAGTTATGGGAATACGCAATTTGAGTAGTGGTTATGTGCAGTTTCACATTTGATAAACGCTTTACAATCAAAAGCGCGCAAAACACAAAATCACACAACGGGAAAAAGGTGTTCATATACAGTGTACAAGAAGATCTGGTATTACTATATATGTCGACATAATATATGCTACATGAAGTTCCCATAGATAGGTTCAAAATATCAAACATTTAAACATTTTCAGAGTCGGTTTCTTTTTCACAACGTTAATAGCAGAGTGTCACCGTTATCTACCTTGGCTTTTGAAGCGGTTTAAGAGCAAGGGTGGTCACGTGGTGCAACAGAAGATGACAACATTAAAGCAGGTAGTGTCGGGATTAATATGATAGTTTCGAAGAATGACAACACACAAAATGGCGTGTTTGTCTGATTTTTTTTTTTTTTTTTACTATTTCATCGGAAGGTTTGCTTCAAAATTAGGCTAAAGAATTCAAATAAGTTCCATGAAAGAGAGAAAGAACATTTCGAAATTATTTGAAATAGCCTGTAAAATAGTGTCGTTGCTTGTTGGGAATATCATTTAATAAAGCTGAATTCAGTTTTATGCCATTGCGAAAAAGAGTTAATTAAGTAACCGAGAACAAACGATTAATATTTTCATATATTGCATATTAAAATGCCCGTCTCTAATTCATACTATTCATAAAACTTGACACCCAGTTCTGTGGTCAGTACGACCTGGTGGTCAACTGCACTGGTATTGGGGCCAGAGAACTGCTGGGGGACACTGTCCTGAGGCCAATGAGGGGACAGGTCATGCGCGTAAAGGCCCCTTGGATTAAGCATTACTACTTTACTGACAGTGACTGCTATATATACCCATGGTAAGATAGCTATATCATTATTACTAATTGTGATATACTTTCGCAGGCTCGTGTTAAACATTTTTTATAAGACAGTCATTCCAAGCTTACACAACAGGAGCGAGTATAGTTCTGTTGGGGCTCTAATAACCACTAGTGTTTTCCAACTGTAATCTTTCCAACTGTATCAAACAGAGATACTGGTACATAAATTATGTCGTATATATATAATCTACATGTATTGGCAACTGTGTTTTCTTTGCTCCAGCGCAGACGACGTTGTCGTAGGGGGCGTGAAACAGTATGATGAGTACAGCACCGTCGTAAATGAGAGAGACAAAGCTACAATTCTGAAAAACTGTCTAGAGATGGTACCGTCATTAAAGGTAATGGTACCGAGTATCAAAGTCTATCCGATTACGCATTTCAGTATTACGTCTTTATCAAGTCTTTACTAGTGGAATGTAGTTTTGAAGTCTGAATGTCCACCATTTTCGATTAAAATCGCGAGGCATTCAGTCTTAATTGTTGGTTGATCTGTCACCACCGCTAGCCGCTCAATATCTATGTACAGAAAGCAAGCAACCTACCTCGGATACAGTGTCCTAAACGAGTTTTGTTAATTTGGTCAGTACGTGGTCAAAAGGTAACATGTTTCTAGCAATCGTATTGCTGACCGAGACATATAGAATAAATCCGTGAAATTTCCATAGTGGAAAAAAAACACCAGAGAGAAGTGTTTCCAAATGATGAAAATATTTTGATTCCAGGACGCAGAGTTCAAATTTGACTGGGTTGGTCTGAGACCCTCGCGGAATCCAGTACGGGTAGAATTCGAAGCAATCAAATATGGAGATGATACCTTGAAGGTATGTTAACCAGAACCTGTAGGTTGTCTTGTGATAAGTTTTAATTAAATTATATCAATTCAACACAAATCATGCCAGTGTTTTCATGGTGTCCAAAATTCTAGCTTCTTCATTAAATTTAAGACATGTTATCGCTAAAACCATTGAACTAAATTTACCTTTTGTATAATTCTAGAAGCATGTCTTTCCATTCAAGTTAAAGTTTCTAAATAAAAAAGACCGTCAAACTAACTTATTTTTGCAATTTATTCTTTGTCGTGTTGGACATTTAGTGCTGAATTCTTACAAGAATTATAAGCTTCCATTATGGCCGGTTCAAATAGTTGTATTGCACGGCTTATATTGTATACAAAACAAAAAAATTCAACTTTGAAACCGGATTTTTTTTTTCGCTAATGCAGACGTAGCCATACTTTAATCAAAGATTTCTGGTCAAGAAGCTTTCCGCGTATTATATTTGATTATTCATAAATCTATTTATATTAAAAAGTGTTTGTCTAAACTTATTCGGTGTCACGAAACAGTGCTACTTACAGGTACCGCTTTCATTTATTTCCACCAGGTCGTCCATAACTACGGGCACGGCGCAAGCGGAATTGGTCTTAGTTGGGGCACTGCTGTGGAGGCGACACACCTGGTGATGAAGGCATTAGGGAAATTTTCTACAAGCAAGCTGTAAATTTTCATTCCGTGCGTTGGAAAACCAATACAGACACTGCCGTCCAATCGCTATTTTCTGCATTATACTAGTAGACCTGTTCCATCGTGAAAGTCCTCAAAGTTTTGCCTACAGGTTGTACAAGCACAGCACTTATCGCAGTATAATAAATACGGTATCTGCGTAACACTGCATTTAAGAAACTACAATAGGACACTGAAATCTAACGTTAAAGCCCTATAAAAACAAAGTCCTACAATCTGAAATATCAAAAAACACCGGACTATTTTGCTGGTACAACAGCTTTTTTGACGCAAAGATCCGAAAAGCCTGTTTTATATATAATATATTAACATGGCAATCCATCTAGACAAAATGTGCCCGTTCCATTCAATTGTGCGCATTTCAACGGACTAAAAATGTATTAAAAGCAATACGTTTATAAATGTGTTGTTTGAATTATTAGGGTATCTATCAGTCATGCTTCGACTGTTATTGTTTATGAAAAGAATGAGAGATTATACCAATGTCCGGTCTTTTACACACACACACACACACTCACACACACACACACACACACACACACGTATATTTCAGATTCCCCTCTTTTTATTAGTCAGGCAAATTGAGGCCAGTGCAGGCACATATTCTAGTACTTGTACGCGCTCACATATTGATCGCCTCGTCCGAGAATATAAGGATATATATTCACGCTTCGTTATGTTGTGCTTCATAAGTAGGTCAGGTTTCTCGCCGAGCCAACGGTCATTTCAGGTTCAAACAGTACAGGCACATTTGTGCAAGGCATCAACTACATGCAACCACCTATTTACCCGTGAAGCGATGAATTGACCCATATACCGAACCGCAAGTGGCCCCATATATAAAACCATAAAGAGAAAGAGGTGGTATGCGATATCACAGAAAATATGATGTGGACTGAATGACTCAAAGCCATGGCTAACATAGCAGTGATCGGGGCTGGAGTTGTCGGACTGTCCACCGCTGTTAACATCATAGAGAGCGTCCCAGACGCTAGGGTCACTATCTATGCTGACCGGTGGTCACCGGACACTGTCAGTGACGGAGCGGCTGGGTGCTTTGGACCCAAACTTGGGGGTCCTATGTACCCCATGGGCATAGAATTGGAGAGATTTAAGTATGTCAGTTGTTTGTAAACTTTGAGGGAATGTGTCGGATACTTGTAAAATCTTTTAAAACACTGGAAATGAAATCGAGTTTATACTGCTGTCTTTTGTGCAAAGGCAGCACATTTTGCATATAGCTGTTTATAAACAACCATGCAGATATTGCATGACTTGCATGGATCGATGGTTTTGTTGAATGGAGGGGTGGGTGATATAGGTTAAATTTAAAAAGTGCAAGACTTGTTAATGCGTTCTGCTATATTATGTAGGGCACTAGGATGCATGGAAATTTGCTTGGTTTTGTCCTATTTAGTTTCACGGCAGAATGAGGGGCGGAGGGGGTACATTATCTCCGAAGCAGGGGGGAAAGTCCCATGGCGATCCCTGGATGTTTCCTAGCCATTGAATATTTGCGAGAAAATGCTCAATCCAAAATATTGCCGTTTTTCTCTAGAACATGGGGCAGGGATTCATTCAGGCACTACGACGCCGTGGCTCATTCAGCAGACTCGTCAGAAGCCGGCGTCTTTGTCTTGTCCGGATATGAACTTTACAGCAAACCTGAGAACGTGAGTAAATCAATGTGAATGATTCCAGTTTGGTTCGCATGTACTAGTAGCAAAAATTAGAAAATATGCACGTTATTTATAGTGTGTGCACTAACATAAATAAGAACCAGAACACAACACTATTTTTACACAAGCACCGGTTATGCAGTAGGTGCATATACTCCTTTATATAGGGCCTACTCTTTCTTTTTCACAGTTCGAGAATTCCAGGGTAGAATTTGAACTTTCATTGGCCTGAAGCCCTATGCTAATAACCTATTCTTATTTATGTGCGTGTTACCTGTAAATCAAAAATTGTTATTGTTTTAGCTGTAAATCATTACAAAATATTGAATAAAAATTGACAAAATAACCTATTTTGTGCACCATTATTATCTGCGTTATGTCTGTGCATTTGACAAGTTTACTGTTTTGTTAATAGTTAGTCCCACAGTTACGCACCATTTAGGTCCGGTTCAGTGTATGGTCAATCGGTTCTCCAGTATTGATTACACGTGTGTGTCCTCTGGTTTTTAGGTATCCCCATACAATGCTACAGAATTGATGTATAATTACAGAGAACTCACCAAGGAAGAGATGAAAAGGTTCCCTCCAAAGTACAAGTACGAGTCGTTCATTTTTCTTTCTCTCTTTTTTTTATATTTAATTTTTGTCTGTCATTTTTGAAGCTGTTATGCAATTTAAAAGTGGGATTCGGGGGGGGGGGGGGGGGGGGGGGGTAGGCCTTATAGCCTAAATCCGCAACAATGTAAACAAAAGCATGCATAGAACAATAACAGGCAAAAGAAACGTTTTTGAAAATTCATTTTCAGAGTTGGATATTTTGTCACCACGCTTATGGCGGAGTGTCAACGCTACCTTCCGTGGCTTCTGAAACGTTTTAAGAGTAAAGGTGGTCACGTGGTACAACAGAGGGTAAAAACGTTGCAACAGGTAATGGACACTGTATGACGATATCAGTACATTGAAATGTATGGGTATGGTTCTACACCATCAATTAGTTAGTTTGTGAACAATTATCAATACCATTTGGCTATTAAAATTAGATGTTAAAATCGTATCTATATATTTCCCTCGCCATTGTTTTGGACAGCAGCGGTTTTTGTAGTCTTTCCTGGTACAATGTATTTGTTTTTCATACTATTGTTTGACTATGTATTTTATTCCCAATTAAGTTCTGTGGTCCGTACGACCTGGTGGTCAACTGCACTGGTATTGGGGCCAGAGAACTGCTGGGGGACACCGTCCTGAAACCCATGAGAGGACAGGTCATGCGCGTGAAGGCCCCGTGGATTAGGCATTACTACTTTACGGACAGTGACTGCTATATTTACCCTGGGTGAGCTGAACAAGATGCCATACTGTAATATATTGTTGACCTTTGGAGAAAATGAATAGGACCTTTATATGGTCCTTGTTTAGCATTTGGAAAGTGTTTTTTTTAAATATTAATGTCGTTTTACATATAACTTCGTGAAATTGAATAAACTTGTAACGTTTTTTTTTTTTTAAGACAAGATGCAGTTGTCTTGGGAGGAGTGAAACAATACAATGAAAATAGCTTGGAGGTGAATGAGAAAGACAAAGCTACGATATTGAAAAACTGCTTGGAGATGGTCCCCTCTTTAAAGGTAAGAAATCACTTCCTGAAGGCGATTGTTTATGGGCACCAAGGCGACCAAAATCGGTTTGCGTTTCGTAATGTAAAACAGTGTGAAGATATCAAATAGCTCTTTCAGCAAAATCAAGGTTCGGTGATCGTGCAAAGGTTTGTTCTTTATCTTCTACTTGCAGACAGATCCATTAGCAGTCAATGAATTTTTCCTTTATTGATTTTTCACGATGGATAAAGCGTGTAGTGTAATAGCGCACAAATTAAGCATCATTTTCAATATCTAGGTGACATTTTGGAAAAATTATGAACAAAATTCATACGTCAAATTTTATTTCGCTTACAGGACGCAGAGTTCAAGTATGACTGGGTTGGTCTTAGGCCGTCGAGGAAACCAGTTCGGGTAGAATTGGAGGAAATGAAATTTGGAGACGATATCTTAAAGGCAAGCATTATTTTCTTAAGTGTAATAAAACAATCCAAAAAATCTTTTAAAAAATAAACACAGGGATAAAGACAGCACTCTACATTGGTCTGAAATATTTAGTCTGAATATATACCATATTGTGACACAAACTTGTGTTACGCCTCCCATAAACAAGGGTGATTCGTTGCTTAATATAGATTTGATATTGGATAGAATTTAAATTGGATCGTGGTAACGCGTACATTCATCATGTAGCCTTTTTAAACGTGTCCATTTTTGTGTCGGTTTTTGGTGAAGGAAATACCGGCATTCAACAGACACCATTAGCTTTTCTAAAAACACTGTTGTTACAACATAAGATCACATTAATATATCTATATATAATTCTATTCTACCAGGTCGTGCACAACTACGGGCACGGCGCTAGTGGGATCGGCCTCAGTTGGGGTACTGCTGTGGAGGCGACACAAATAGTGATGAAGGCGTTACGGAAGTTCCCTGCAAGTAAACTGTAGCGGCGTTATGCACACCTCAGAGCGACGTACATCTATGGATTTTCCGAAGAACTTCTTTCTGCGAGATATTTCAAGATCTTACTGTATTAGCAAACTTAATTCTCGCAATGGGTTACATGAATATTGAATTTAAATAGTGCCGTTTCTTGTTGTGAATAGCAGTTTATTGAATAGTGAATAGTGTTGTGAATAGTGCTTATTTAGCACTTTTAGTTTGCAACAATATTGCTGCAATACTGCTGACGGGATTGGTCTTAGTTGGGGCACTGCTGTGGAGGCGACACACCTGGTGATGAAAGCATTAGGGAAATTTTCTACAAGTAAGCTGTAACATTTCAATCAGTGCGTTGGAAAACCCATACAATTTAATTCGTCATAACACTATTTCATGCTTTGTTCTTGTAATCCAGAACAAGGTGAAAGGTTCTTCAAACTCTTGCCTACAAGTGTGCAAGCACGACGCTTGACACAATCATAAACACGGTATCTGAGTGACTCTATACTATAGGACAGGCATACCCAATGTTATAGCCAAAAAAACTGAAGTCACTCTATACAATCTGAAATATTAAGAAAAAACCTAGTCAGTGTTGGTGATTCATAAACAACAGCTTTTTCAACGCAAATATTCCAAAAAGAAAAATCTTTATACAAGGCTATGTTGACACGACAACCATCCAGTCAAAATTTCACCATTCTATTCAACAATACGTATTGCTATCAACTGAAAATGAATTAAATACAATGTGTTTATAAATGTGTTGTTTTAATTATTTGGTTATCTAAGTAATATTGACTATTTAAGTTTATAAAAATAATGCCAGATTATGCCAATGACTGGTCTCTTACGCTGGAGCCAATATCAGCCTTTAGCAAGCAATCAGGCCTGCTGATAATTTGCAGTAAATTTGCTGCAATATTGGACGTATATATCAACTTCAGATTTCCCGCCTGGCATTTTGAAGGCAGTTTAGGCACGTATATACTAGTACATGTACACCGCCATATATTAGTTACCTTGTCCAAGATTTTTTCTTTCAGATTTGTTATGTTGTGCTTGATATTTAGGTCACGTTTCTTATCGAGCCAACAGATATTTCAGGTTCGGTCAAGGTTAAAACTGCACAGGCGCATTTGTGCAAGGCATCAACAACATCATCCTATTTACTCGCGCAGCCCATATAACGCACCAGAAAGTGACCCCAAAGTGGCGGTATGTGATATCACATAGAATATGATGTGGAGTGAATGACTCAAAGCCATGGCTAACATAGCAGTGATTGGGGCTGGAGTTGTCGGACTGTCCACCGCTGTTAACATCATAGAGAGCGTCCCAGACGCTAGGGTCACTATCTATGCTGACCGATGGTCACCGGACACCACCAGTGATGGAGCAGCTGGGTGCTTTGTGCCCAAATTTGAGGGTCCTATGTACCCCATGGGCATAGATTTAGAACGTTTTAAGTAAGTCAGTTGTTTCCATACACTACGGGATGTGTCGAATACTTGTAAAATCTTTTAAAACAGTGCAAATGAAGTCGCGTTTATACTAGCTGGTACGTGTCTCATGTGTAAAGGCCGAATGTTTTTTATTAAAATGTGCATACCTGTATAATAGGCATGCGAACATCTATAATGCATGTAGTGACGGTTTCGTTGAATGGAGAGGGTTGATAGGTTGAATATGAAATGTTTCCCCAGCACCTGTGTATTTAAAAAGCGCCCAGTCCGGAATGTGGTCGTTTTTTTTCTAGAATATGGGCCAGGGATTCATTTAGGCACTACGACACCTTGGCTCATTCAGCGGACTCGTCAGAAGCTGGCGTCTTTGTCTTGTCCGGATATGAACTTTACAGCAAACTTGAGAACGTGAGTAAATCAGTGTGAATAATTCCAGTTTCGTTCGCACATGCTTGCATTGTGTACATGTACTGCTATATAACAAAACGAGCAAGTTATTTGCAGTGTCTAATTTACGGTATTACCAATATTGCTTGCGTGACATTAAAAGAACGCAGTGCTATAGTTACACGAGCACAGGTTATACTGTAGATGCATATACAGGTACTTCTATATCTTCTTTTGGATAAAAACCACCATTGGCGCAGGTGAAATTTGAAACTCGGGGTGATATTGGCAGGTTAAGTTAGTTTCCATTTTGGTTCGGTTCCAATTTAACCCATCATCTCACATTTGTTGATCTCATCATGTTGACTTCTTTACTCTCTATACATATAGTGTCTGCACATACCACATTGGTCAAAACGGTTGACCACCCTCAAATTCCACGTATCTTTACATATGATCACCTCACAGATGTAAAATGTTAAAAATATTTATGTGCATATAATAAATATGTATATAAGTCCACGAAAGAAAAAAACACCACCGAATGTCAACAAATTAACATACAGTTAGCATTAGGATGTGCACGTTTCAGGCCCTTGTCCAATAGTGTTTGTGTCTACAGGTACTGCAATTATCCTTGGTAGGCTTCTCGGGATGCCTTCAAAATGGGTAAAAACTCTGTTTTGTGGGTTATTGTTCCATTCTTTCAAAAAAGCTTGGCGTAATTTATCCAGATTATTTGGGGGTTGGTCCTGTCTTCTACATCGCACAGTCCCATATGTGCCACAGGTGCTCAGTAGTATTATATTCAGGGCTCAAAGATACGTTCCATCCTCAGGACTTTGTGTTTCTGCAACAAATCACTGAGGAAACGAGAACTTTGAGCAAGTGCGATGCCAATCTTGAAACCTGTGGTAGTCACCGCTTGAAAATGGAGAGAGATATCAGTTGAAACTAAATGATCATTTTCCACATTACGGTATTTTCAAAGTGTGACTAAATAAACGTTTATGGACCTGAAGACCTTTGCTAGCCACTTTTTCTGAATATCCAATATACTTATGGTATATTATTGAATATCGGTGGGGATTGGGCATTGCGTTGCTGTTAAGCATTGTGCATCAAAATAAAAAAAAACTGTTTTAAGCACTGCCACCACAAAGGCTGTCAACACAAAAGCGTGTGTCTTATTATCCTCTAGCTTACAAGAATGGTTTTTAGATTAACATACATGTAAAGCTCAGGTTGGAAAGCCAGCTTAATTGGATGACTTTTCTTGAATTAATGCAGTATTTTGTGAAACTATCATTTTCGAGACCCCCAGGGTAAAATTTGTCCTGTAATGGGCTTAAGCTCTATGCTAGTAACATATTGTTAATGTCCGTGTTACCTGTGCAATTCGCAACTTACTGTTTTGTTTATAGTGAGTCCCACAGTTACGCACCATTTCGGTCCAGTTCAGTTTAAGTTTAAGATTTCTCCAGTATAGATAAACACTTGTGCATGATCTGGTTTTTAGGTATCACCCTACAATGGCACAGAACTGATGTATAACTACAGAGAACTCACCAAAGAAGAGATGAAAAGGTTCCCTCCCAAGTACAAGTACGAGTCGTTTCTTTTTTTTTTTTTTTTTTTTTTCATGTAAAGGTGTTTCAGAATTTAAAAGAAGGGTGGAGTTAAACTTCATAACTTAAATCCACAACAATGTAAACAAAAGCATGCATAGGACAATAATAGACAAGAGAAACATTTTTTAATCCGTTTTCAGAGTTGGATATTTTGTCACCACGCTTATAGCGGAGTGTCAACGCTACCTTCCGTGGCTTCTGAAACGTTTTAAGAGCAAAGGTGGTCACGTGGTACAACATAGGGTAAAAACGTTGCAACAGGTAATGGGCACTGTATGATGATATCAGTACATTGAAATGTATCGGTATGATTCTATACCATCGCTGAGATAGTTTGTGAACAATTATCAATGCCAATATGGTAATAAGAATTAGTTGTTTAATTAGTTGTTTAAATCGCTTCTTAATTCAAATTGTTTTGAGTTGCGGTTTCTCTTGTCTCTTCTGGTACAACAAAACGTTATTTTACACATAATTGTTCGACTGTATATTTCATTCCCAAGTTCTGTGGTCAGTACAACCTGGTGGTCAACTGCACTGGTATTGGGGCCAGAGAGCTGCTGGGGGACACCGTCCTGAAACCAATGAGAGGACAGGTCATGCGCGTGAAGGCCCCGTGGATTAGGCATTTCACCTATACTGACAGCAATTGTTATATTTACCCTGGGTAAGCTGAAAAAGATACAGTGCTGTAATATATTAACATTTGTATTAAATAAATATTTAAGGCCTTGCACTGTAAATTGCAACTTAAGCTTTATATGGTTCTTGTCTTTTATTTGGAAATGTGTTATTTTTGTCTTTTTTAACTATTAATGTCGTTTTACACATATCTTTGTGACACTGCATATACTTGTTAAGTGTTTTCCCCAGACGAGATGCTGTTGTCTTGGGAGGAGTGAGACAATATGATGAAAACAGCTTGGAGGTCAATGAGAAAGACAAAGCTTCGATATTGAAAAACTGCCTGGAGATGGTCCCCTCCTTAAAGGTAAGAAATCACTTCCTGAACACGATGGTTTATGGCCACAAGGGGGCCATAATCGGTTTTAGTTGGTTACTGTATTGGTATTGCGCAGATATCAAATGTCTTTTTCGGAAAATTTAAAGTTCGTTGATCTGGCAAGGTTTGTTCTTTAACTTCTACTTGCAGACAGTTCCATAAGCAATCAATAAGTTTATCCTTCATTGATGTGGTCATGATGGAAAAGATGTGTTGTGGGGATAACGCTCAAATCAGGCATCATTTATAATATCCAGGTGACATTATGGATAGAACTGTGAACAATATACGTACATCAAATTTTATTTCTCTTATAGGACGCAGAGTTCAAGTATGACTGGGTTGGTCTTAGGCCGTCGAGGAAACCAGTTCGTGTAGAATTTGAGGAAATGAAATTCGGAGACGATATCTTAAAAGTAAGTATTATTTTCAAAGTCTAATAAAACATTCTGAAAAAATCTATTTAAAAATAAAGGCAGGAATTAAACCTTTTTTTCTTTTATGTACCCAAAACTCTACATTAGTCTGAAATTTTTAGAATGTGTTGAACGACTTAAGTCTCCTCAAAATGTAGTGTTTTAAATTGGATTGGAGTCACGTGTACATCCCTTGCTTATCATTTTGAAGCGGTTTTTGTGTCGGTTTCTGGTGAAAGAAATACGGGCATTCAGCAGAAACTATAAGCTTTGCTGAAAACACTGTTGTAACAACATACAATTACTGAAATTTAACAAATGATATTTCTATTCCACCAGGTCGTCCATAACTACGGGCACGGCGCCATTGGGATTAGTCTTAGTTGGGGTACTGCTGTGGAGGCGACACACCTGGTGATGAAGGCATTAGGGAAATTTTCTACAAGCAAGCTGTAACATTTCACTTCGTGCATTAGAAAACCAAGCAAACTTAGCAGTCTAATCACTATTTTCTGGATTATACTTGTAGACCTGTACCGTGGTGAAAGTCCTCAAACCAATTCCCTGCAATTAAACTACATGTATAGCGGCGTTCCGCACGCCTTAGGGCGACACCTATGGATTTTCCAAAGAACTTCTGCAGGATAAATTCAAGATCTTACTGAATAAGCAAACTTAATTCTCGGACTTGGTTGAATGCACATGCATTAATACATAGACTAGCTGACCTTATTTGTAAGAAGGGAGTATTTGAAAACAAAGACTATTAGCATTATTTGAAAAAACTCGCCTATACACTTTGTAAACTGTAATAAACAGTAGGCCGTATCCACGATCGTTTTCATTATAACTGAGTGATGTCGTCGCAACTACCGTGTACTATTGGGTACATCTACATATTGAGAAGTGACTGCGTACAATACATAGACATCTATCAGCATTATGTTTTTAATTTTGTTAGCAGCAGGACATACATTGGCTTATAAAAGACATCTTTGTGGATAATCTTGCCTGTGCTTATCGATGGTAACAAGAGAATGAAAATAAAAATTGAAAGACTAAGCAAGTATTTTTGCAAGTCCATTGCGTTTAATGTGATGTAGAATTAATTCATATTAACGTTTGCTGAGCGACCTGGCCATTGTAAATATTGTTTTCACAACATCGCTTGATATTTCCCTGTATGTTATACCCACTTTACACTGGACGGCGCCCTTTCTGCGACCATGAAATTTGGCATCGCTGTGGTCTTAATAAGGAGGTACGAGCATTGATTTTGTATCAGAATGAATGCTCAGTGATCGGCCAGTTGTCGGCACGTAAAGTATCATAATTTTTTAACTCTCAAATGGGGCCGAACTGCTGGACGCAGAATGGACGCCGTCCAGTGTAAAGGGGGCTTTACATACAGTTCATGTCAAGAGTACGTCACTAAAATTCTGCCGAGTGTTTGATCGAAGGGTGGCTTTTGCCTAACTGATGCCCGCACACACAAACTATTCATTGACTCTATAAATTGTCTATTGTGATTAGTTTAGTCATGTTTTTTCCGTACTCTTTCTTGCAACCAGTCAATCAGTTAAGTGTGAAATATTTCTTCAATCATCTTATTTGCTGGTGGATATGTGATATACGTGATGTGTGTTATACAGCATGAAGGAGAATATTACCTTTTGTCAGCGATGCCAGCGGAGACGGGGCCGTAGCAATAGTCCGAAGGTTCAATAGTCCGAAGGTTCATTGGTCCGAATATTCACTATAGAACCTTCGGACCAATGAACCCTTGTTTAAAAAATCGATGAAAATGTTACCACTTTTCGGACCAATGAACCTTCGGACCAATGAACCTTCGGACTATCGAGACGCCCCCGCGGAGACATGCATGGATTAATCTTTGAGACAAGGCTTTGAAATATATATAAAACTTGCAAAACTAAATAATTTTGAATGTGTCTGAGGTGTACGTGTACCATCATCTGGAAAACAGACCTTAGTGCACCTGTACTTTTACGCTTGCACTCAGCACACTCCACAATGGCTAACATAGCAGTGATCGGAGCCGGAGTCGTCGGGCTATCCACCGCCGTTAACATCATAGAGAGCGTTCCTGGCGCTCAGGTCACTATCTATGCTGACCGCTGGTCACCGGACACCACCAGTGACGGTGCTGGCGGGGTGTTCTCTCCCAGGTTCACAGCCGATGAATACGGGTACGGCGTTCCTCTCGAACGATTCAGGTAGGTGGTTATCGATTTGAAGCGACGGAACTAGGTCACGGGTGAAGGTCGGATTTGTTTGGGTTCAAATGAGTGTTTGCAAACTTACATGAAGGAAAATAAAAGATATATATTAATATGAGACGGAAAATTTATATTGAGAAAAGGTCGACATTGAATGTTTATAAAAAGGCTTTTTGTGTACATTTCGAGGCATGTAATGGAATAGGCCTAAGTCTACCCTGTAGCTTTTAAAGTAGGCCTACATGTAGCTGACCCTTTAAGAAAATAGTTTAGGCCTACGTACTGTTTATTGTGAATTTATATATATTATCAGATCCGACAAAAACGCTGGGCTGGATTACAAGAAAAGTATGGAGTATTTATTTCCTTCTTCCAGACAATGGTCCAAGGATTCCTTTAAAAATTACGACTCCATTGCCCGGTCAGCCGATTCTTTCAAAGCAGGCGTGATGGCTGTTTCTGGATACAAGTTATACAGCAAGAAAGAGAACGTGAGATTTGAACAGTTTGCATGTATATTATGGTAGTCGTCACATTCACATTAAAATATGTGCCAATGTGAGTAAGTGTCGCTTTTTTGTTTTGGCCATCTCCATCTTTTGGCAGGACGGGTTGCTTCCCTTAATTTTTTGCTAAGCGACAGAAATTATTTTTGTGTTACACCGATTCCTTTTGGGCGGGATTTAATTAATCCGCCACAGCTATACTTTAAATGTGTCCAGACATTCCGGTTAAATGAGGATTTCTTGGTCAGAATGTTGAACTTGCTCACATTATCAGTGAGCCCGATAACAGATATACCTGTAGATGTATTAAGTGAATCAGATTATAAGCCCGATGTCAAATTAAAAGCAGGTCTAGTCTCAAGAATCTTAAAGACGCTATATTACGATAACGGATAACCAAGTCATCCAATTGTATTAGTTGCGCAATGAACCACTGATGGATTTCGATTTCAAAGGCACATACAATGTAGTTAGCTCAAATTCAAATTGAAGTGGAAGAATTTTGGAGACCTCATTTGCGTAGACATCAGTTTAAATAATTTTGTTTCGTTCGTTTTTTAGGTAGCAGCGTATTTCTCCCAAGATATTCTATACCACTGGAAGGAACTTAGTCCAGAAGAAATGAAGAAAATGTTTGCACCGAAGTTCAAGTAAGTCTCTCCATATGTCCATCCTACCCCACTTCTTCTTCTTCTTCTTCTTCTTCTTCTCTTTCTCTCTCTTCTCCTGAGTTCTGCAATTTATAATTTCAGTACTGGATCCATAACAATTTTAACTACAATGCACTTTAATCGCAATAGCCTACTCACATTTATCCATATAAACGTGACTATTGAACGTGCTCCTTTGCAATGAAATTTTACCCTGTTCCAGGGTCGGATTCTTCATGAGCACCGTCCTTGTGGAGTGTCAGAGGTACCTTCCCTGGTTAACTGGGAGATTTATACGGAAAGGTGGTAAACTAGTAGACAGGAAAGTCGAAAGTTTACAACAGGCAAGTATTTAGAAGTCCTCTGCCATTAGTTAATTCCGGGGCCCATTAGAAACTCAGGTCTATCATGCGCCTGTTTTACAAATGAAAAAAAGCATTACGCTCTGTGGCCCTGCACAGACTGCTACACTTGGAAAGCCAACTACGATATTGATGACAGACTTTGCGACAACTCTTTGAGAACATTTTACCAGCTATTGATATATAGTAAATGGTCATCCAAGTACCCGAAGGGTTTGTGGACCAATGAGAGCATTTAATACAAATATTTTACTATATTATCACACTATTTTATGAACGTAATTTCATCTTGGTATATCTGTGCAGTTTGCTGGACGATACGACGTGGTGGTAAACTGTTGCGGGCTGGGAGCACGTGAACTGCTTGCTGATGACGTCATCAGACCCTTGCGGGGCCAAGTTATACGTGTCAAAGCGCCCTGGATAAAACATTTCTATTCCACAGACACCGACTGCTACATATATCCAGGGTAAGGTCTAAATAAATGTTTCAATCTATAGTTAAAACCATAATCTTACATTATTTGGACCACAAAGATAGAAATCAGATTCCTTTGCCAGGCACCAGTAGTGCTTTTGGAACAAATCGTTCATGTCCAATATATGTTGTAAAACAAACAAATAGATTCACTAGTGGATGAAGGATATTAAAAAGTTTGGCAGCAATATCATTTTTATTTATTTATTTATTTATTTATTTATTCCTTCATTCTTAATTCATTTATTTTAAAATAAATTTTGAAATCTGTAAAATATGGGAAAGATTACGTTACGGTGACGCCATTTTCTTCTTATCCAATCACAGCGTGGATACCGTGGTCCTTGGTGGCGTCAAACAGTTGGACAATTTTAACTTAGAGGTCGATCCTGGGGACAAGGCAAAGATCAAGAAGAACTGCACTGAGCTTGTGCCTTCTTTAAAAGTGCGTTAGATTTCAAACAACTACAGTAAATTATGAAAATCAGAACTCGTAATGGACACTATCATCACGTGCAGTGGACGGCGCACACTTTACGTTGGTTTTTATTCAGTTTACTGTTTGTCATGGTCTGTGTGCTAAAACACTACGTTTTTGTCATATTTCACGAAAGTTTTTATTGTGTTTGATGTGTTTGATTATTTTAGGGCGAGGGGGGAAATTTGTGGAATACGATATGAAAACTACTTGGATTTTATCGGAAGCATTTTAAAGTGTGCCGATATTGTCGTATCACTATTTGTACCTTTGTAACGTTAGTTAGTGATAGCATGCAGTGAATAAGAGCGGGGAGTGTTTAGTAGAGTAACTTAAGTTGATTGACATGCTCTTGTGGTATTTATACAACTGCGCTTAGTGTAAACAGAGAGAAGGCCGCTAGAGATTGCATGAGGTAGGAATAGAAATGAAGGAAGCGGCGCGGGTAATAACTGGACAGTAGTTCAATAAATAATAAGAAAGATAATATCTGAGTTGTATTTGCTACCTCGCGTAACGTGAAGATGACAAGCCAACAGCTTCGTCACAAATGGTGGAGGATGCAAAATATAAACATAGATGTTTGACATCATGAGTCTTGTCGGAAAGAGAGAGAACGATCACCGGACGAAAATACGCAGGCGAACAAAAAGTATCTAGATGAGAGATTGGAATTGGACAAACATAAAACGGAAGGTAAGACAATTGCTTTAAACGATTATTTTACAAAATGCTTTTTGCGATATTTCGATGACTTTATGGTAGCCAGCCACAATTTCAAATATTGCCTTAGTGAGGTAAACATAATTTCACGAAGGCTGAGGAATGCAAACTTAGCATTATCTGAATAGTTTCATTGCGCGAGAAGAGGTCATAAACATGTAGTTTCGCGTTGATTAAGTGTAAGGTAGTGCCAGAATTCCATGCCTATTTGAATGTATTCTAATTTCTAGAAGTAATGAATTATTGGTTATTGAATTTATCCCCTAACAGATTTCAATTAAGCAGAGTAAATGTAAACACCTCGCGAATGCAGACGCGATAAGCCGCCGCCCTTACCATGAGGGAAACGTTGAAGAATAAGACTTAGAAAAACATAATGACCCTGCACAGTTTTTTTAATGATGCATGTTTGAACAGAATACATATGTTAGACACTATCTTAAGACAAGTACTTTACTTTACTTTAAAACAGAGTGGCTACGAATTTAAAGGTCTGGAATGCTTTTAACATTTAGAGAACGGTGACAAAAATGTGACATTGTCAAAATGTCAAGATTGCGAGGCATTTGTTTTAAAGAGGAATTGTTTTAAAAAGTCCAACGTAAAGATAAGAATTTTGCGTCAATTATCACATACTTGACATTAGACGAACTTCTACTTAGTTGCAAAGGCGCTTGGCTTCTTGTTGTTAGAGATAGGAGATAACGTGATAATTGATGGCAGAAATCACCCCACCCAGGAGGTTCTTTGCAACTTGTTTTTCAGACAAGTTAGAGTACAAAGTTTTGTCTAGTTTACACGACAACGCAATCGGTCATAAGGTTATTCAAAACACGTAGTTACTATTACGCACACGAAGTATTTTTTAGAAAAGGTCATTTACAGATGTCATTATGTTCGTTCTTGTGTTGAATGTTTGACAAGGAAAGTTCCTCCAAAATAACTCCAGGGCTTCGTTGCTAACTTTGCCCATAAACAAAGAGAGTAAGGAAAAAATAGAAAAATGAAGAAAAACGAGAAAATGAGACTGCCGGACAAGCGAATTTGTCCCAGACCACTGATGAATTATTTGAAGTAGAAACCTTCCGAGGTCGCGTCAGATAAAAGTTGAAGCACAGTATCTTATTTAGTGGAAATGGATTCCCTTTTGGTTAGAATATTAGGGATCCAATTAAAAACTAAACGAGGCGTCATTAAAGGGAATAACATAAGAGTAAAGGAAGAGAAGAAAATATATTAAGTTGTGTGTCAATGAAATAGAACACACCTGTTTAAAACAGACAGCAAGATGGGAGTGGCAAACGCGATGAAGTTGAATTCTAATTGGATAGAATTGAGATATTTATAAAGAGACTATCTTAAAGTGATGTCATTAAATTTTTTTATGGAAAATATTAAAAGATGCTCTTAAATTTCAGTGACGTTTGTTTTTAAAAATGTACGCTAAGTCTTTTCTAGGACAATACTATTAGGAGTTCAACGGCGATATGGTTGTCCCTCATTTTCCCTCAGAATCCGTAAAAGATTCACGTAAGTAAGTGTGAGTATTGATTAAAGAAATAATTTGAATTGGTTGTAGACTCGTTATAAAATTTGTTTGGTGAATATATTTTGTATGTCTTATATTTTCCGATACCTGCTCATTTAGATAAATGTAAACATTATCCATCTTTTGATACGTCTTATGTTTATTAAGTAAATTCATTTCCGTTTACATTTTATGCTTCTATTGACCTTAAGAATTTTACAGGTTGCGGAATGTTTGAAGAGATGCCAACAGCTGAGATATCTCACTTCACTGTTGAAAAATTCGTGACAAGACGGAGAACTGCATTTGAAAATATTTTGTTGTTGACTTGAACAAAAATTTTGCCCTAATCAATATTGATAAAATAGTTTTTTTTTCAGGTTAGCCAGGCAGCGAATGAATTTTTCGTTGTTCGCCTACTCTTGTAATTTTAATATCCATCATAACGAGTTTTTAAATTTTCTTTTACAGGATACGACACTTAAATGGCATTCACTTTAATTTCAGGCAATACTAATTATTATTGCACTTTGTTTCGGTTTAGGGCTCCTGGACTTACAGTCTGCGTAATTTCAGATGATGAATCATAATTCTTTTCATAAGAATACCCCTTCTGTTTCGCCCACTACCCCCTTGCAATGTCAAACATCATTGACAGTGCGCATGCACCTTTGAAGGTGACAAGCAAATATTAAGATTATGATTAATCTACCTTATTGGAAGTCCCTTCAACAAAATTATGTTTTCGGGTTGCGAAGAATAAAATTGGAGAATAGTTTGAACTTTCTCGACAAATTGCCTTAATTAAAGTCCTAATCACTGGCATTTCGACGATCTTCTTAAAATGATCTTGTCAGTTGATAATGTGGTTATATTGGCAATCAAAAGATCGAGTGGAACAAATGATTTAATGAGAATAAATGATGCAAGGATAAATGGCCATATTTGGATATTATTTGATATATTGTGATGAATAAAATGATTAAGATGTGACGGATGTCAATGTGGTTATGGATGACTGAATATGTGGATTTGAGGTATAAAAGTGTGCGCATGACGTCATATAAATACTAAAATCTGGGACGCCAGATAAATACTAGCATCTGGGACGCCAGATTGAGTTATTATTATTTTTATTATTAGCATAAGTATTATTGTTGGAAAAATTATCATATTATTAGCATGGTTCCATATATGTTTTATTGTTATCATAGTCTTTTGGATGATTAATACTATGTCAAGTTGAAATCTTGCTTGTTAAATGTGGCTGTATTCAAGTTTGATGATGATTGTTATAATATACGTAGTTAAGTTTTTCTTGACATGCATTTCTGCTTCATTCATTTTGGATATATTCGTAAACGCTGGACATAGACATTCGTGGATATACAGGGAACTGTGAACATTTATCTACACGTATGCCAACGTGCGCGAATAAGACGTTTATCCATATACAATGAGTGGCAAATGACAATCGCTATGCACTGTCTAGAAGGACGGATTTAACATTATATGCTAACTGAACTTTCCTGCTAAAATTCAAAATGGAGGATATAACGGACCGTACTAAATGGAACTATTCATTTGTGGGAAATGAACTTTAGATTTTATTGGTTAACTTTGCGTCAAATGTTATTGCATGTGGTTATAAAAAAATGTTAAATATTGTGTATTGAATATTAGACACGCAACTTAGGAAAAGTATATCTATATTCAGTTTTTCGGTCTTATAATTATTAGTTATTGATATTTAATTATGCGATTATTGGTACAGGTACATTGTACTAAGCTTTTACAAATATGAAGACGTGGAACTGATGATATGCATTAAGGAAGATTCTTACTTAATTATTTTTCGGTATGTTTTTGTTCAATCGTGGATTGGGTTTGATATAAAACGATTGTTTCTCTTATAGCCATCAGAAGAGAGCGCTACCGTGTGGATAAATATGAAGTTAAACAGGTACTTCGTCATCGACGATGCGCTGGTCGCAACGTTGTGGTGAATGCTGTTTATATTCGACTGGGGGTGGCCAACCCTATTGTCTCACGTAGTGCACTCCATCAATATCTAAAATGACAAACGAAAGAGAGAAACCGTAGAAAATGTGTCAGAGCCATAATAAGAGAGTAACAGATTTTTAAAACATCTGCGCAGAGAAAACAATTAAAAGTATCTGTACTCTTGGGCCACACATGACAACATGTAAATGCACATCCACGAACAACCATATTTTCTGAAGAGTTGTCAATCTATCTTCCTTTGAGTTATATTTTGGGTTTCATGTCCAACGTATTTCTATTTTATCATAAGTTTCTTATAAAATGTCTATGTACTTAGTTTTGTTTTGCATGGATTTATGGTAAAAGAAAAATGGAGTGTTTAAAATTTATTTCAATGTGAATTTTTATTTTAAAATATGCCTGGGGACAGGCATATCGTCCCCGGGAGATAATGTAACGTTAGTTAGTGATAGCATGCAGTGAATAAGAGCGGGGAGTGTTTAGTAGAGTAACTTAAGTTGATTGACATGCTCTTGTGGTATTTATACAACTGCGCTTAGTGTAAACAGAGAGAAGGCCGCTAGAGATTGCATGAGGTAGGAATAGAAATGAAGGAAGCGGCGCGGGTAATAACTGGACAGTAGTTCAATAAATAATAAGAAAGATAATATCTGAGTTGTATTTGCTACCTCGCGTAACGTGAAGATGACAAGCCAATAGCTTCGTCACACCTTCACCCTCAGATACCGGTAATGTCATCAGCTGTGTTACGCACTCATAGTTAAATATTAAATTCTTCACGCAATAGCTAAACTCTATTTAACACTTATTTCCAATTATTTCAATCAAATACTGGATCATTTGTCATTGGATCATTTGTCATTTGAATAAGCTATATCTGTAATTCTGATGCCTTCATATATTTGATCCACGCCAGGACGCAGAATTCTTGTGTGATTGGGTTGGTCTACGGCCACTGAGGGAACCACTACGATTAGAACGAGAAGACATGAAATTCGGGGACCGATATCTGAAGGTAGTTTTAAATATCGTTATCTTGTCTGTAAATCACGAAAGTGACTCAACACGATGATATCTTTGGAAATTATAATGTGCTGTTTGGAGTACAGTATTAAAATGTCTAATAACAGGCCAAATTTATCCTGAATTGTCAAATGAATCTAATACAGACAACATATATGGGGCGCCTTATTGACACAGTGTGTGTTTCTAAAAAAATCAGTTTTTTAAACTTACCTCTCAGTATATAATCCCACACGAGGCAAATTCAAGACAAATTTACGACAAATATTTTACTGGTGCTGATTTTTCGATTAAAAATATGTTCACTAATTTATTCTGTGTGTTCGGACAGGTTGTCCACAATTACGGTCACGGACAGAGTGGCGTTGGGCTGAGCTGGGGGACGGCCGTTGAAGCCACAAAACTTGTACAGGAGGCACTGGGTCCGAAGACAGTGAGCAAACTGTGACTGTTCTGGACGGGCGAGTGCAGACACATAGCGAACCAATGGTTGTCAGCGTTACTTGTTCAGTACTGGCCATGCAGTAAGCAAATGGTGACCTTGCTACACGTTTCAAAGAAGTAATTTTTTTATTTCACGACATTTTGAAAAAAATTGCGTTGATGGATACAGACTACAAGTGTGATGTATTACACATATTTCAAGATAAACCCTCTCTTATAATAAGCACGTACCCTTCTGCCGTGAAACATTTACAAATGTTAGAATCTAAAGATAGCCCTGTTTACCTTCAATGACAACAGCAGCAAGAACCAAAAGTACAATAAGAACGCACGTCTTCATTTTTGCAGTGAGAGTCTGGAGAAGTCTGTACAAGTCTTTCTATCTGATTTCCCTGCAAAAGGTTGACTTATATACAGTTGTCAGTAGTCTAATTATCATGCATCACACGAAAACAAATATGCGGAAGAGTTGCAAATAAAATATTTATATTTTGACCCTTCCTTTCTCTTTCTTATTTCCGCAACCCTTCAAAGTCAGGACAGATGGCTTCATTTTCTGTGACAAGGACGATGTATAAGCACCTAAAGTGTTTTTATAGCCATCACAAGGTAGTGTTTTTCAAAAGATTTATTAGTCATTTTTGTCAACTTTTCACGTGTGTACATTCTTCAAACGGAATAAGAATATAAATATACTGATCGTCTTAACTGATATATGCCAAGATGTGTATTTGTGTGTGTGTGTTTGTGGAGAGAGAGAGAGAGAGAAACAATTTGGTCTTCAAAACCTACACTGACGGCATGGCTGTTGTCTCAAATAGAGTTAACCAACCCTTCTCTCCAACAAACTAACGTATTTATCTTAAACATAAAAATTGAATAGAAGTGATAATAGTGGCATATATTTGCTGAAAACGATGCCTCTTAGTCAATCCATAGTATTAATTGATAATATTGATTGTCTAAGTGTGTTTTTACCTTTTTTATAGTACGGCTTCTGATATTTATCAATTTTTGTAAAACCTTTGAAGCGGATATTATTTTACGTCTTCTATTTATATAGAAATTTAATTTAAATCATTTATTATAATTGCGATTAACACACACACACACGCACACACACACACACACGTTTAGAATGTGGAAAATAAAGGCTAGCTCATCAGGCAGCGTCCGTTGGGGACACACGTGCGTGTGCGTGCGCGTGTGTGTGTGTGTGTGTGTGATATATAAATATCTTCCTCTATATCCATAGTTCATGGAGTTCTCGTATTTCAATGGCAGTTAAAATTATAATAAACGGTACTCGCATAGTAATTGCAATAATTTTCATAATAAACATTTTGCGTGCATGTCATACTTCAACCGTAATGGCTTCTTAGAAAAATGAAATTGTTTAAGTTTGGAAATTATAAATAACGATGTGGACAATCCCATATAGTATAAGAAGTTGCGCTTCAAATGTTTTGCAAAATGTTTGATATATCGTTTAACGCGTCACTTATTCACAAAGTTAATGCATTCTCATGACAAGACTGGGTCAAAGAAGATAAAAGCTGACCTTTGTGGATGTTTTAGACGAAGGCGTCTGTCATTGTCATTGTCATTGTCATTCAGAGAATGCTGCGAACTCACCTTGAGACCCAAGGGTATCTAGAGAGTGATGACCCTAGCCAATACGTTTGCGGTTACAGTTCTCGATTTCAAACTAATACAATTACCTGGAACTCAAATTTAACATATAACAGAAATCTTGTCAAATTTTTGATTGAGATCTGCCAGCGCAGAAAACATAGCTACACGAACTGTGCGATATACTTAAGTCTCATTTTAAATGTATTAGCCTAATTATCA